AAATATATACAATTGGTTTGTATTGAAAATTAATTACAATTAAAATTAAAATTTATATAAAATTAAATCTCTAAAAACAAATAATTTTTTATTAATTCGATATTTAAATAAAAAAATAATTAGTCTATGAAGGAAACATTTTATTTTTTTTTAAATCTCCAATTAGAAGTACAATCTTTTATTTTTAATTTTATTAATTTTTACTTTTGATTGTAATTTTATAATAGAGATGGAATAATTAATTGTGCCATTTTTAATTTTTTTAAATTTATTTTATTTATTCAATTAATTATTTTTTTTTGTAATAGTGGTCTTGAACGTCTAGCAGTGTTTTAGTTGACTTGTATCGGCAGTTCAATTCAGGTATTTTAAGAAGCGTATGTGGCCTCCATGTACACCTGTCTATTTACAGTCCCAAGTATTTGGCGCAATATGCCACAGGAAGTGGAATTTGATCCAGTTAACTGAAAGGAGTATTTGCCTTTGAGGGTAAAGGACATTGGGATTTGTTTTCATTTATCTTTATTCTTCATTTATGGTACCATTATTCTAAGGTATAAAATTGGGCTCAGACGAACTGCTAGGAAAGGATCGAGGTTAGCAGAGATGATTGTTGTACCCTCAGGGCGAGTTTGTTTGAGTGTTAAGAAATTCTCAAAAATACTATACTTAGGATGCACCCTTGAGATTAACTGCATTATTTCAGCTACTTAATGAACTCTTTAAAGCCTTATTCTTATAATCCAACAAATCCAATTATTTCAAATATTCCTTAAACTATATGTTATTGAATTATTTATGTGCGTTGTAGCTCAAAGATTTTTATCCGATTCATCTATACGTTCTAAGACTTAATGCCTTTGTATACTGACTGGCTGAAAATGTCTGACCTACTTTTCTCAAAAAATCATTTTATATTAGTATTATATAATGTCTTTTACGTTCCATGTTTAGAGAATGAGTATGAGTGAAGTATTTTTAAATTATAGCATGTTTAAACAACACCCCAGTTGTGAGATGTGCGGAGTAAAGGAGGATCTTAACAAATAATTTTTCACTGTTGCAAATATATGTTAGCCAGAAAATTCTTCTACAAGGGTATTCAGAAGGAAGGGATAGATGTCCATCTGGTGGAATGGAGAGCTCTATTGTCTCCCAGGAACCCCGGTGTCTTAAAAAATTGTGTGTGATATGTCAGTGAAGATATAGTCTTTGTTGTTAAAAAGTACATTTGTTACCTAGTTATACTATTATGGCTGTATAATATTTTAAAAAAAATTGCATGTGTTGGCGGCTGAAATGGCTGAGTTGCCCAATGTGCCAGAGCGCAGAACTTGGCAGAATGGGCAAGATTAATGTCTAACCCAGGTCTCCTGACAGCGCTGGGATAATAGATTCTTATGACTCACTACAATAAGTCAAGGTTTAATTTAAAAGAACCCATCATGTTCCAGAAATAACTCAGAAATATGTTCTGCAATAATTACTTCAAAATATTTTCCACCAATGAATTAATGAAAAGTATTATAAAAGGAACAAATTAATCCAAGAAATTATTTTGGGATATTTTCAAGGACATAGAGCCTGATGAATTTATGATCTTTTGATTACCAAATATGCAGGAATGTCACCCCAGCCAATTCAAAAGCAAGAATATTGGATCATTTTCTCAAATATTAGCAACGGAAACATTTCGTCAGATATTTTGGATGTTGTATATAAAGAAAAACTAGCTTCCTTACAGAAAGCAATATGGCCATTACTGATCATTTTGGTCTCCATATTCTCGCTGGTTTGGCCTGTCAGATGCAGTGTTTACCATTTTCAGTCAGGGGAGAAGTCTCGTAATCCATAAAGCAAAAAGATCCTGGATTACTTGCATTCAAAATTTGAGCAATATTTCATTTGTGTGTAATCGGTGGTTGTTCCATCCATAACTTTTTGTAACATGTAAATTAAATTTTGCTGCTTAACTTTTAACAACTGCTCAGTGTTATCATGTGTTCACCGTTTCTATTCCAGTATATCTCTGACTGAATATCTACTAAAATTAAACGTCACTTTTACAAGACTATACCTCGGGTGACAGGGCACAAAAGAATGAATAAGCAACTAAACTGCAATGCCAACATTAGGATGATACAATCAAACATAGACTCCTTCATGAGTCAGAATGAGTCCACAAAAAAGGCATGGATGAACTCCAGAGGTGGCAGACACAGAAAACTTATGATTAAAGAACTTGCAGCAAAACTGGCAAACACAGTACAGATTAACTAGGTAAAACTCAGTGGAATACTGACTATGACCTCGGTCAAACCACTTTGCCATCTTTTTAACATTATTCTCCTGGCCATGGGCCAAAATTTCAAAATTTGAACCCAGAACTGCTTGCCTGGCACAACCAAGTCTGACGCCCTAACTATTCAGCCACTGTGATCCCATAATTAAAGTAATTCCTATGTTAAAGAAGGGCTTAATGTCCAACTACTCATTGGGTGTTATGGATGAGAAGTCAAACCACTTTACAATTTTTTTTCCCATCTTTTTCTTAATAAAAAGACCATGGACTATACAAAGATTCAAACCCCGAACTGCTATCATGGAGAATACAAGTCCACTATTGGTCCCGAGGTGCTGATTCATTAATACAATCTTATTGTTTATCACCATTTAACATATAAGTACTTAACAATATCATTAGTATATTTTTTTACTTTTTAATATTGACGTTTATACCCTATTAACGTTTGTATACTTATATAGTGGTATTAATTTTCTATTTATTTAATGTTCTTGCCAATAGACTGATTTCACAGCTATATATTTGTTAAGTTCAATTTTCATTAAATAAATTATTTTGATCTGCCCAGCCTCGCTGTGTGGGTCTGTCTCACGCTTTTCAGGTTCTCGCCATCTTCACCTTTTGGTCTGGGTGATATATGTAAAGTCTGTATCTTTTATTGAGTTGTGAAATCTTGATCTCTTATTGATTGATCTTGGGGTTTGTTGGTCAATGAACTTATAATTTGGTTGTTAATGATCGTTCTAGTCTGCCTATCCTCGATGTGTCGGCCTGTCAGACACTTTTCGGCATTTCACCATCTTTCACCAGTCTTAGGCTTAATGATTGGTAACGACCAAATTGCTAGTTCGTCACCATATATCTCCTAATAAACTATTTCTGCATAATTAAATCATTTCACTAAACAATCGAAGATAGAACACCTAAATTGTGAGATGTTTTAATATATAAGTTCATCTTGGCATGCCTGCTGTACTTATTAACAGACACACTTCAGTATTTCAAAAGATCAAGCTAGAGTTTCATTTTGAAATGAAAGTCTAATATATCCTAATGAAATGTTTCATCATCCCTCTAACCTACAAGATTATCGGAGAATAATATCAACAGATATAAAATTAATAGGTTAATGTTACAGATCATTTATTGATGCTCAGGTTCGTTTGATAATGAAAATAATTTCCTGTGACCAACCTGGCCTGCTAAAAGTTTTTTTAATCAATATTTCAATTTAAAAATTTCATCGCCATTCTCAATTTAGCAAACTGTCTTTTCTATTCTCAATAATATAAAAAAGAAGTAATAAGTTTTCCAGTAGAATTCCATGCTGTGACTTAACATATATTTGGTCCAGCTTATAATTTTAACACTTCTCTTACAAACTATATTGTACATACTACAACTTATATAACAATAAATTAGTTGGAAATACATATAACAGATATATTCCAGGCTTTTACTGTTGTGTTCTTTTCCAACTTAGAATAGTTTAGACATTTCCGTAATCCTAGCCACCCATCCTTGTTTTCTCCATTTTGCCATCTTCGGTGTAATATAACAAACAAACTACTGATGATGGTGAAAATGCAGAAACGAAGCTTTGACTAAAGCAGTGAGAAAAGGCTGACTAGGACAAGAAACTGCCCCTAAGACCGCAAGAAGAAAATTCACAAAACATGGTTAAAACACACGTTTTAGCATTAGTAAAGAAAAATTTACATGAAAAAACATTGTTTATTTTATTTAGGGTAAAATGTGTAATATATAATGCAGTTTTGAATAACTGGGGATATTTTATTTATCTGAAAAAACGTGAATATCTGCTCGGATTCAGCAACATATTATTTTACAAAAATTTGCAAACACCTTTTTATAAATAGTATGACATTTGCTTTATGGCTTCCCCAGTTAATGTAATGATTCATAGCAAAATGATCAAACTGTAGCTTGATCTGGTGAAATGCTAAGATCCGTCTTGGGGACAGAACTGGTGAAAAAGGCAGACAGGCCAAGATCATCATGGATGACCAAACTACTAGGTTGACCTTATTTTATTAGTCAGGGTGTGTATTACTGCACCCTTTAAAACCTGTTGTATCCTAGGTTGACCTTACATCTCAAAGTATCTAACCAAGTTGGATCTGACCTTAATACTGGAAAATTGTGTGATTTCTCTATTTGGCCTGTGGGGTGATGAACCTATAAATTTGTTGTTACTGATATTTTTGGCCTTCCTGTCCTGAAATAAAAACCAGACTTGGGTCAGTAGTATTCTGGTCAACACTGAAGATTCTGAAATGCCAAAACGCATCAAACACAGCAACGGCAGACCAAAATGATCAGTAATGACCAAATTACCAGTTCATCGCCCCTCTGACCGCAAGATCAATCATTTTACCTTTTACGCCCTTATAAAAATGGACCTGATTTAACAGATGAAAGCCAGATGAAAATCTGAAGATGAAAAAAGACAAAATACATCTGATGTCTAAACAAAGTGATGAGAGGCAGACAGAAATGTTCAGTATCGTTCAAAATAGTTTACATAATGAAAATTTAATCTAACATTTAAAAACTGAAAAATGACAAAACCACTTAAGGTTGCAAAATTTATAAAGATTTTAATTTTTTATAAAATAATTGATAAATAATCTCTTATTAAATATCTATTCAAATAGTTTTGTGAATGTTTCAGAAAGCTATTTAGAAACACGCAGCGGCCACGAAAGCTCAAGCCACACCATCACGATGACAAAACGAGTGAGTATCAGTAACTCAATATAAATACAATCGAAATGTTATAAAATACAGACAAAATTTATAGGGAAGAAAAATAAAATCATTACATATATTTAACGGTTAAAATATATAAATTTTTCCGCATGACAGTTCAATAAGTTTGAGTATGTATATGTTGGTGTTTTAAATTAATCCACTTTGTATTTTGTTAAGGCAGATTTTAGAGTTAAGTATTAAACAGAAAATAGTATTGGTATAGTGTCAAAATGTTAAAAAGAACAGAAGAAAAACTGAAGAAATAATTAAAAATTTGATCGCCATAAGACTCCAAACTAAGATGTCCTCACCATTTTTAATATATTTAGATATAATACGCATACATTATATGTGTATGTACTTTAAAAATTGTAGTCCGATTATTGCAAAAATGCAAAAGTTGTTATTTGTCAGATAAAGAAAAAAAGTGCATTTGTTTGGTGTGTTTTTGTGATTTTCTATTCTTAATAATTAATTGATCAATAAATAAAAGAAAAAATTAAGGTAAACTTAATTTACATGGTTTTATACTGAAAAAAGGTATTTGTCATTTTGGTTGGTTGGAAAAGAAAATCCATGTTTTTTTTTTTTTTTTTTTTTTAACCAGGATCACTAGTTGCTATAGTCTTCCCTTCATCCACTGTGACCTAAAAGAGTTATTGCGGATTCTTATTTATTTCTATGAAAAGAAGGCTGTACCATTTACAGCCTAATGTTTTTGAGCCATATAAATTATATTAATAATGTTTCTGATTCTGTGACAATTTTACCATTTTTTGAAAGTGGTTATCAAACGAGCAAGGTCTATTATTTATTTATTTTTAATTCGTGGTACTGATAGAGAGGTACATTTTTACTTTCCTGGTTGATGTTTAAGAATTTATTCGACTGTTTTTCACCAGGTGCATTTTGCCCCTCTGGTAGGCATGCTGTTGCTTATCTATCAAATTAGTTCATGTCGTATTTGTTCATTTTGTAAGTTTTAGGCTCATCGGGCATTTTTCATTTTTCATTTTCATCATTCTTTGAAGCTCTAACTTAAAAATGATTCCCAATCTCATCACAAGCCCAATTTTTAAATAATAAACAAAATGTATTAACCAATAATGCAAGCTAATTAAAAGTCAAACAATAAACTACATATACAGCTACCTAATGTTGACATAATGATGAAAAAAATTATACATTTTAAGTCATTTGTTTGGTGTTTTGATCGAAGGAAATTACATTACTATAAATTTATATGTCTAATAGCTTTACTTGAATTATCGCCAATTTTTTTTCCAGTGTTTCAATTATTATTATTATTATTATTATTATTATTTTATAAGTGGTTTGTTAAGGCAAAATCTGTCATGTTGTTTGTTTAAATTATTTTGCACTACTATCACATGCACACCTGACCTTCACTAATTTGTTATTAATTTTTATAATATTATAATTAATTATTAATTTAACAAACATAAATATTTTGATTAACTGTATTACCCAAAATTTGTGTGATTAAAGTGTTTTTGAGCAAGGGTCTGGGGGTGGAGTAGCCTTCAAGTCCTCTATCCTGAAAATTAATCGGCAGACAGAACTCAGTCAAATATTTTCTATGAGGTGAAACAAAACTGATTAAAGTTTGAAAATACAATATTTTATGAAAATTAATTAAGTTTAACTGAAATAAAAACTTAAATATGTTTAGTCTAATCTGGAAGAGTACAATCAATAAAAGTACATTATTTTTAAACTGTTTTATAATTATTGGGCAATAAAAAATAATACAAATATTCACTCTGACCAAAACCGATTGAGGGATCAAGAACGTGTTGCAAGTAACTGTTTAAAAGCTTGCCAATTACCTGAAAAACTTTCATTTTAGCCTTTAGTTTTTTTTTTTTTTTTTTTTTTTTTATTCTGCATAATGTTTGAAGAATGTTGCACAAATTTTCATATTTGAAGGGTATTGCTAATCTGAAACATTTTTGATTACTGAATAAATTAAAAATAAATTAGGCAACTAAGAATATGAGAGGAAAAGAACAAGGTTGAAATCTATAGATAGATAGATACTTCCAGGACTTACAAGTTGCTCAAGATGCATGAAAATGTATAGTCTATTCCGCAAGAGTTCAAATTCACCAGTTCACTCATCACTTTTAGAACCAGCAAGCATTAACATAGACAATTATATTCACTAGGTTTCGTGATCTGCATGACCAATTAATATCTTTCTATTAATTAAGGTTTTTAGTTGAGATAAAAAAGTCAGTGTCACTAGCGGGATTTGAACCCACGATATTCGGCTAGATATGCCGCTTCTCTACCACTTGAGCTATTGTGAGCTTGATCCACTCTGACACTAACTTTCCATCTCAACGCCAAAAGCTCTCTGTGGCCATTTCATTTGTCGCTGAGAATCAAATAGATTACACGACATTTGAAAAATGGCAAAAAGGAGGGCAAATTCAAAAGGTGGGGTTGAGATGGAATGTTAGTGTCTGAGTGGATCGAGGCCACAATAGCTCAAGTGGTAGAGCAGCGGCGTATCTAGCCGAAGGTCATGGGTTCGAATCCCGCTCGTGACACTGACTTTTTTTATCTCAAATAAAAACCTTAATTAATTGAAAGATAAACAATTATTTTTGAGTTGATGCTGGGTGTTGGTCTGCGAGTCGGTGAACTTATGCTAAACTGCATTGGATCACATATTGGGTCCGTATTCACTCACGGGTTTGTTGAACTACTCACAACGCATTTCAGCATAGCATTATCTTCAGTGAGGAACAAGGTGAAAAAAAATTTACATTACTAGATCAATCGCTCATTTGGAAGAAACAAACTGATAAAATGCTTAACATATCTCCAACTCATGGGAAAACAAAATGAGGACCGATATGGGTAGAAGGCAATAGGCTGCTAACCTATCAAAAGGAGATGCAGCCCTCACAATATTTGGACCAGACTATTGGGTTAATTCACCAGGTGTAAAGCAATCAAAGAATTTCCTCAACATCTCTACCAGGAAAACAAGAATGGACCTTTTCCTCAGCATGCAAGAATTTAAAAAATCAATTACTACTTTAAAAAAAAGATAAATTGAGACATAAACAAGCCAACTATGCCATAAAACAGCAGAAACATTATTAACATATCTTATGTAACTTCAAAGCAGTAGTCAGAATTGGTACCTGAACTGGTACCCTCCTTACATGGTAAATAAATAAGGGTCAATTTCAGTTCAATTTCAAATTCACACTCTTTTCTCATTCTTTTAGGCTACAGTGGAAGAATAGGAGGATTTTCTGTATAAAACTGTATGGATTAAATTAATCTTAAATTTTATTTTTGTGGTTGATTTATTGACAGATTAATAAATGAACCAACACACCTATAACAAATGTACAGGTTATCTGTATCTAATAAATATAAATTTTAACGATTTCTCAATAATCGGATTGCTTTTTCTTTTTTTAACGAGGGTTTGCAACAGTAGAGGCCATATCAACCCATGTGCCCCGGTGTTTTTGAAAAAAGTCCATTTGTAAGAATGTCTGGTTCCAATGCAGAGCCGCTTGATTCGAACACGGGACTTTTTTACCTCACCACTTATCCCTATGATCGCCGTGTCAACGCCTAAACCATTGCGGCCACCGAAGCCCCTATACACATACTTTAATGTTCATGTAATGAAAAATGAGAGGAAATCGAGGAATTTGGACAGAATACATTAGTTTGGAATCCAAGGACGATCAAATTTTGAAAGTATTCCTCCATTTCTGTAGTTTTTATTTTTTATTTAGAAAATGTATCAATACTATTTTCTGCCTAATACTTTAGCTCTAAAATCTGCCTTGATAAAATACAAACAGGTTTAATTGAAAAACTAAACCCTAGTGAAAATAACTTTGTAAAAGGCGAAAGTGAAATAAGATATTTTGTTAGTTATTTCCTAGTTTTCTTGGCGGATGAAGTGAAACTAGAGCATGCGTGCGGTTGTTTCCCGTTCCTAAAATGAACTTTAGGTTCATTCAACAGACAGTCTAGGATGTTTCCATAATCGCTGTGAACCCCCTGCGTCATCTGGGCAGATGGATTGCGTCTTTTCTTTAACTCAAGCTCGTATTTAAGTTAATAGTCTTCTGCCCTTCGCTTCACACGCATTTTACAAACTTTCTTAAATTTTTTATATCATATACCGATGATAGTTTGTAAAATAACACTAGGAACGGTTTTTTTTTAAATTTTACGATTGGGCGATTGGATTGGGTCATTTTGTAATTTTAGTTCCACAATTCTTTGCGCGCAATCTTGCATTGCTCAAGGGTTTGAAAATAAATCAATTTCATTTTACACTACATATCTCAATAAATTCATATTTAATATTCCCCAAATCAGGGGTAGATCATCCTAAGATAAGAAGAGAATCGTTCTTTCTCGAATCAGAATAGACAGGTACTTATAAGCCAGAGCGCGCCTATGAATGGCATGCAATGAAAGTTTGATTGCATCCTACATGATTTCAGGGTTTCATGCCTTGGCTCCATATAGAGAGCGAGTAGGCATGCCAGTCAACGAGAACCATCAAAACAGCATGTTTCAGTGTGCGATGTTCTGATTTTTTTAAAAGAAACAAGGGTCTTCAATAGAGGGAATAATTCTTTCGTAGTCTGGTAAATGTTTCGTGTAATTGATAGTATTTATTAGCTAGAATGTATGATTTGAAAATTTCGTCTGTCATTTAGATTAGTTGGAAAGTTTGTGTATGTGGGGAGATTTTGAGTAATTCGTCTCCGTGCTTCACCGAATGTAGTATTACATTTGGGAAAGAATATATATTTAGAATGACTGTGGGTGTGAATGTTTAGATGAAAATACCTTGCGTTCAGGCCGAAATGAACTAGCTGCCCGAAACACCTTAGCATTTGCCAAAAACGATCCATCAGAAAATGTGTTAAGAACCCTTAAAGAAGAAAGGTTTTTAGTTGAGATAAAAAAGTCAATGGGACGAGCGGGATTCGAACCCACGATCTTCGGCTAGATACGCCGCTGCTCTACCACTTGAGCTATCGTGACCTCGGACACTAACTTCCCATCTCAACCCCACNGGTTGAGATGGGAAGTTGGTGTCCGAGTGGATCGAGGTCACGATAGCTCAAGTGGTAGAGCAGCGGCGTATCTAGCCGAAGATCGTGGGCTCGAATCCCGCTCGTCCCATTGACTTTTTTATCTCAACTAAAAACCTTAATTAATTGTTCTAAGGAAAAATGAACTAATATGTAAAAGGTTACTCTGTGGTGACTGTCACTGGCTTAGAAAAACTGCTTCGATCATACTTCTGCCTTCCAAACAACATCCAATGAACCCTTCTACATCTAAATAGAAGCTAAGGTTAAGTATGCTCATAAAAGCCTTCACCAGAAATAGGAAAGAGGCTTTCATGAAGCAAGTCAGGCCGGATGATACAAGAAATTGAGCTGACACGGAAGTTATATAATCCACTTGGTATTCTGGATGACGTTCAGAGAAAGCATTGGCCCTACAATAAAGACGGCCAGGTTCTAGTATGTACATGTGGCTTACTATAATTTCCATTAGGCGTGACTCTTGATTTGACAATGCCCCCACCGTGCAACCTTCAGCCAATGAATCAGGGGCTCAACGAGTTCTCAATGCTAACAAACAACCAATACAACCCAAAAGCCACAGGGTCCTCCCAACTGCTCGTACACCTCGCCCAGTTTGCTGGACTGCAATATTCGCATTGAGTTCTTCATCAGGCTCATCAACACTCACGGTACTGCACAAAACATGGCTCGCACGGCACGAGAGTCAAAACAACACCATCACATTAAAATAGTGACCCCAATATGATTATGCGACTGCGAACTTTTTTACGTGCTGGGAGGAATACGGCACTCTTCGGTTTGGACAGCCTCCATTATTAGGCCTTACGAAAGTTTCCACCAGATTCACCATTACTTCGAAACTGCCTTTCAAATATCAGCTTATGAATAACCTCTCTATTTCACCAGGGTTAACCACAAGGTCTACAACCAATCTAGTATGTATGATTAAAACAAAAAAATATAATTTCGGCCCCGACATACTTACAAATGGGCTTTTTTTCGAAAACACCGGCACCCTGAGGGTTTATATGACCTCTGCTGTTGCGAATCCAAAAAAATAAAATCTTTATAAAAAGATAGTTCTTACTCTCAGTTACAACCACGTCTCTCGGTGAGAAGCTGGTTTTTAATGCCGCTCAATTTTGAACGTGGGAGTTATAACACAACTAAATATTAAATTAATAAATACTGTAAAAAAATTTATAAATTAGTGATTAATTTGTAGGTTTTTATTAATTAATACAAATTAAAATAAAAAATAATACATTAATAATAGATTAGTAATAAGTATAATGATAAAATTAAATACTAAAAATATTTAGGTATTAATTAATTTGTACAGTAATATTACTTAGGTACATATTTAAAATAGGAGGTAAATCAAAATCTATTATATTATTAATGCATTTATCTCCATGTTCTATTTTAAATTTTTTAATTTCCTATTTCTCAACCCAATCTAGTTCAACAAAAGGAGTTTGAAACTGTCTAACACTGTTATATTTAAATTTAAATTGTGTTTCGTTTCATTTAGATGGTCCTTAAATTCCGAAAATTTGTTTGATTTAGGTAAGTGTTCTTTAACTCTCGTTTTAATTTCTCTACCCCTTTGTCTCTGTATATTTAAAGCTGCCGATAGACGGTCAATATTATTGTACAATATAGATTGCACAATAATTTGACGCTTGCCCCTTAACGTTCAATATATTGTACAAAATTTTGTTTGTGCAATGAACTTGAACAGTTTGAAGGTGATATTGAAGTTTGTGCAATATTTTCCACTTGTTGATACTACACAAACTGACCGATATTGCGCAATAATGCCAACAGACAGTGCAATATTTTCCGGTTGTACAATATATTTTCAACTTTTCGTCCATCATGCAATGTATTGCACAAACTTTCAATATCGTCTACACACGATCAATTAAATTACACAACCCAAAATATTGTGCAATAATATTGATCGTCTATGGGCCGCTTAATATCACAATCATTACAATTAAGTTGGTAAACCCTGCTTTTTGCCAAGTTGTCTAAGCGGCCCATAGACGGTCAATATTATTGTACAATATAGATTGCACAATAATTTGACGGTTGCCACTTAACGTTCAATAATATTGTACAAAATTTTGTTTGAAGGCGATATTGAAGTTTATGCAATATTTTGTGCAACCACAAACGTGCGAACTGTACCACTTATTCATACTTCACAAACTGATTGATATTGCGCAATAATGCCAACAGACGGTGCAATATTTTCCAGGTTGTACAATATATTTTCAACTTTTCGTCAATCATGCAATGTATTGCACAAACTTTCAATATCGTCTACACACGATCAATTAAATTGCTCAACCCCAAAATATTGTGCGATAATATTGATCGTCTATGGGCCGCTTTAGGTTTCGAGAAGACATTCTAAGTGAACATTCACCTTTAAAAGCTACTTCAAAATCTTCTTGTTGAATAATTTTTCCTACTTTTTCTGATGGTTCACCAATGAATGGCAAACGATCGAAAAGCTAATGATTCATTTTGTGTAGAGCGGCTGAGTCCTATTGTTGCTTCTTTTAAAGTTAATTTTTTTATCCTTTTAACAAGCAACCCATCAATAAATATTTTATGATATCCGTTGGTTTTCGCTAAGGTTTTAATAGCTGGTTATTCTTTTTTATGGTTAGCAGTTGTTAAAGGGAGTTTTAACACATGCTAACACCAAATGAAACTACAGCGTTTTGGGCCCATGAGTGACAAGAATCTGCTGGTATCTTGGTGTCTGTGATTGTGGCTTTTCCACAAACGCCTATTTCTATTCGGTTGCTTAATATGGACAGTTTTAAGTTTAAAAAGTTTAAACAACCTCTTATTAATTTCCAATGTAAAATTTATATTACGGTGTAAAGAATTAATTAGTTGGAGGAATTCTTTTAGATCCTCTATTGTTCCGGACCATTTGCATAAAATATCGTGTACTTTGGTGTCCAAAAAAAGAACAATACAGATATAATTAACTTTTTGTTTGATTTGAAAAGAATTGTTTCAAAATTATCCATGATATTTCGGCACAATGTGGGGATACTGGGGACCCCTTTCGTTTCATAAAATTTATTATTGAATTTACATCAATTAGATAGTAGGCATACATTTAAGAGGTGTATTATATCTTCTTTTTTTTAATTCGTTAATAGAATTCCACGTAAGTTTTTGTTTTATAAGTTTTGTACATCCTTTAACAGGGATATTTGTGAATAAATTGGTAAAATCAAATGACACCAAAACCCAGTCGTAAGGTATATTTATTTTCTTTAATTGGTTTATCAATTCTAAAGAATTGTTAATACCGAATATAGGTTTGAAATTGATGTGAGTTGTAATTGTTTTATCAATGGTAATCACGAGTTTTTGGCATGGAAATATTAAAAGTACACAACTGGTCTTATAGGTTTTCCTTTTGAATTTTGTCCGTACCGTTTAGCAATGGGGGTTTCGGGTTCATTGGTATTAGTTTTTTAACTGCATATTGGTTTAAGGTGGGATATATTTTTATTTTTTTATGATCGTTATTGTTTAGAAATTCTTCAACTTTAGAAACGTATTTTTGATGTTATATTCTATTTCCTTTAATCAGCCAATGACCTCTCTATTTAAACCGACTTTATCAGATCCAAAGATTAGTTCTCATCATTAATAGAGCAAGCAGCCAACATAAGCGACAACGAGGGTCCGCTCAAATACTCACACTCATCGCTCACTCCACACCGACTTGGCCCACTGAGCTTGACTTCTTGAGGTGTCAAGGATAGATGGGATCTGAAGTTATGCGTAGATAGATAAGTTGGATACGAAATAAGAAGCTTGTTATGGTTTGAATGTTTATGGAATGGAGTGCTTAGACTCTTTGATGGTTGGAACGGGTGGTTAATAAGGCTTTTGTTGTGTAGTGTGATGACCACCAAAGGTCACCACTACTGCGGAACTGCTTCCGACGAGAGTTTCTCTACAGTAACATAATAAATGATCCTCAGCACACAATTCTCTCCCTAAATCTTAAACGCAAATTGGATAAAATTTCTAAAGCTGGATACACGAAAAAGTACAGTCCCATTGTTGGTAGACGAAGAACGACTGCTTTGTAGATACCTCATACTTAATTTGTCTAACCTATGTTATTTCAAAATATGAGGATGGCGTTGCATTATGTTACATGTATTGGTTTATCTCTTTTCATCTGAAGTATTGTGTGATTTTTGTGGAGCCTAGATTCTTTTATACAATGCTGAAGATGGGGAGCAGCCGAAACGCGTCTGACAGACCAACCGAGACATTAAACAGACCAAAATGATTTGAAATCGTTGTTGATGTAAACGTCTTGTTAATAAATGGGGTTATTTTTGTCAAAATCAAGCTTGTTCGTTTGATTTGCGTCGAAATACAGTTACAAGGGCAATGAGTATAGTGCGTTCCAATATTTATATTACTACATTTGATGTTAATTAATTATAGATGAATCCGAGCTTCGATTGTCGATAAATGGATGTAATTATAATTAATCTGTCCGAGCCAAGATGTTCTAATAATAAATTATTAATAATTATCGATTTGGGACATTGATTGATCGAGGATGAGAAGGTGACGTCCTTTCCTGCTCGGCGCGTCTGGACGATTTAAACTTTGCAAATCTACTTTTTGTCAATCGATAAATATATATATTCAATTAATTTTTACGACGTGGCAGTATAAATTTAGAATGATATGGGGCTATGCTTTGGAACATTGTAGAAGGTTGAGTGGGCCTGCGCGAAAGCCTTGTCTTCATGCCAACTTGAAAACTAAAACAGAACAGTGTACTACCGCTCTTCGAACAAGTAGTTTCTCGGGATAAATCGGTTTTCAGTACGTTCAGTGGCCGGTTGAAGAAGTCTGTTTGGCGTATATTTCTCTTCGGAGACGAGGATATGTGACAAAAACCTGGCGACCGTTTCGAAGAAAATTGAAAAAATAGACTGAGAATCCAGGATAAGTAGTGTAAAAACAAAGAGACGATCGTGACATAGTAACAGTGAAGAATGACGACGTTTTGTCGTATAACTGGTAAAAGCAGGGGTCTTCCTAAGCCCAACTATTTTCCGTTATTGCCACCGATTTCACCCGCGGATGCGAAACGCTTCTGCCGCATCACAGGAAAAGCTTACGGCCTTCCAAGCCATCATTATATACCAGTGCTTGTGAGCAAAGCTCGAAACAAAAAGAAACATTCGGAAAAACCTCACGTTCTCATCGCTGGCTACCGGTATGTCTTCCCCTGCCTGAAAGACGCGCCTACTCTGATCCAGCTTTTAGAAGAGAAAGAGGAAATAAGTGACGGTCGGTATGTTTATGCCGTGAAAGAGAGGAAATACGGTTTAGTGTTTTCCGCAAAGCTTGAGAAAGCCGTTCGTGACGGCGACGTGCGAGACGTCATGCTCGCCAAAGACGCCGACACTGTACTTTTGAAAATGAAAAAAGGTGGTGATATTTCCGTAGAAGTGCGAGCATTGGATCTTCAAGAAATCGGAGATCTTTTCGAGGGGCAAGGGATAACGACAGTCGTCAAAAAGAAAAAACCTACTTGTACAGACTCCATAAGAAAAATTTTCGAAGACAAGGAAATCGCATCCGAACAGGAAGCGATAGAAGCAGAAAGACCTCGCAAGAAAGCCGCCAAAGGGGTGAGGAGTTGGAAGAACGTAGAACCTACGCACATTGATAACGTAGAAAAACCGTCTTTTGATAAATGGGAGTGGAAAAATTTTGAAGCGAATGGAATCGAAGGCCAAACGATTTCCACGCCAGCACCTATATCTCTTAAACCGACTTGTGTTGACTTGAGTGTATCAACGCCCGGTATAATCCAGCAACCTTACATTTCCGACGAATATACTAATCTGCAAACGGCCCAAATCGTAGCACCTTTCAAGCCGTTGAAACTAGAGGTTGATTCGACGCTTGTCCAAAACGTTATGAATATGTCTGCAGATAAACTTGAAAAAACGACAATCTGTGAAATTTCACATGATGACCTCCCTCAACTTCAGGACGTGAGGGAACTCGTAGAACTGATAGATCAAGGAACAGTTGTAGAGAAAAACGGAACACAGGGAATTGAAGTGAAACGAGAAAACTCTTTTAAGTTCATCGTAGGTCAGACAGTCGAGACGTCTAAAGGGTCGCAATTCATCCCAGGACAGACGATGCAGAGTCCATCTGGGGAAATGTTCGTCCCGGGTATAGTCACTATCACAGAAAACGGTCCTAAATTACTCCCAGGATTGGTGATCCCTGTCGATGGGAAAAACGAATTTATCGCAGGTCAAATTACTCTCACTTCATCGGGAGAGAAGTTCGTCGCCGGACAGCATATTCAAACGAGCGAAGGCGTCAAATTCCAACCTGGACAGACTGTTTTGACCGAAGACGGAATAAAATTTATACCGGGACAAATTCTAGACGACCGTTTCATTCCGGGTCAGACAGTGACTACTGAATCTGGGCCTCAGTTTATTGCAGGTCAGACAATCGAATCCGTGAACGGTACGACGTTGATTCCTGGTCAGAGTATGTGGTCAGAGGACGGCTGGCAGTTCGTACACGGTGTCACAATGACTGTGGATTCTTGCAGCAAATTCGTCCCCGGCCGATACGTAACGGATCCTGAGAGCAAAGAGTTGACATTTATTCCAGGCCAGTACGTGAATGAAAACAACAGAGAGGAATTTGTGCCGGGCGTCACGGTAAACGACAACGGCTTGAAGTTTATAAACGGGATGTCGATATCGACTCCAGAGGGTCATAAGTTCGTCCAGGGACGAGTCGTAAGCGGTCCTACTGGAAACAGATTCGTTCCAGGCACTAGTCAAACGTTGGATGGAGAAACGATATTCTCACCAGCGAAGGAAACGAACGAATTGGCCTACATCGATTCCGAAATTTCTTTTCAACCTATATCACCAGCTATTACAAACATATTACCGAAAGGGCTTTATTCGGAAGGGGTGTATGGGCACATGGTCCAGTCGTCTCACGGAGTGGAGTTTTTTCCTGGACCTGCAACTTCTTTACCAGCTGGCAAAGTTGTTCCTGGAAAATTGATAAGAGGGGAAGAAATGAAATTCGTTCCAGGGTTGATGATAGAAGACAGTTTCATCCCGGGGCAAGTCGTCATGACAGATCGCGGGGAGCAATTCATCCCCGGGCAGGTAATAGAAACGGCCGAAGGTCCCAAGTTCGTCCCAGGGCAGATAATCCACACGTCAGAAGGTGCCAAATTTGTCCCTGGGCAGGCAGTTGAAACGGAAGAAGGGCCGAAATTCGTTCCCGGTCAAATTGTGGAAACGAAAGCCGGGCCTACATTTATCCCAGGCCAGGTTATTTTCACAGACGAGGGCGGTTCGAAATTTGTTCCCGGGCAAGTCGTAGAAACGATCGAAGGTCCGAGATTCGTCCCTGGACGAGTTATCGAAACAGGTGATCATGTGACGTTCATCCCCGGCCAAGTGGTCGAGACGTCTGAAGGACTGCGCTTCGTCGCGCAGGATCTTTCAGGAGAAAACGGAAACAGCGAGTTTACAGTACAAGGATTTGAAATATCGCCAGAGGAATTGAAATTGTTACAGCCTATGCTTACCGGGGCAAACGCCGTCGACGCTCGAGAAATGACCATCGATTCTAGAATGCTAAGGCAACTTTCAGAAGCCGGTATGGCTATAGGAAGACAAGTCAATGTCGATATACCCCAGGTCAACGTTAAAAGCGCTCCAGCTATGAGCACGGCGTGTTCTCTCGCCCAAAAATTCAAATTAGACCCTGTCACAACGGTTAAACTGAGCGAGATAATCGCAGCAGTCGTACAAATCGGCAAGCTTGGAGAAATAATAGGAACATCTGAAGAAATCAAAGTCCTCAATGGAATCTTGGAGAGAGTAGTTCATTGCAAAAACAACGAAGAAGCTTATAAGCTCATATCGAATATAATTGAAAAAGAATTTAACTCAAATATGTTGAACGGTGTTGATAAACTACACTCATACATCACATCGTCAGAATCGCCGTTGAGAAAGTTGAACAAAGTCAATGTGATGAAGGAAGTTTTGAACTGTCATGTAAAAACGGACGATTTGTTGGACAAATTTGCCATTGTGATGAACGAGGAAGATGACAACGTTAGCGTCGCCCTCCAATACTTTTCCGAAGTCCAACCGGAAATCCTAGATTCAATCGTTCAACGGTTTTCGGACACGGTCGGGAAATTGGAAGGCGAGAAAGAAGTCGTCGAAACTCTCCATCGCGCTATCGTCGCGACCGTCCGCGAATCCTCGGAACAGAGCATAGTCGATCTTTTGAAAAACACGGAAAACCTCGATCTGAAAACGTTGATCCTGGAAGCAGTTGGGCTCGCTAAGGCTCTCGACATGCACGACACGGCCGTCACGCTCCTTGGCATTTTGTCAAACCCGAAATGCACCAATATATTAGCCGGTGATAGGGTCACTCTGGAAATACTCAGGCGATTGACAGTTATGAGGAAACTGGCCGAAAGAAGGCCGGAATTGCTAGCGGCATTGAAAAACCTACATACAGATCCGTACCGTGCCAGAACCGACCCAGCACTCCGACAGCTCGTCAAGGAGAGCGCTGCCCTTCTCGTCATTCCGGAAGAAGGGGTCACTTCTAAAACCATACCCACTTCACTTTTCTTCTCCCAGAACTCTCTAGCCATGGAAGAATTCCTTTACAAAACAAAACGCGTTTTCAGCATACTCGTCATCATCAAAAACGGGATACAAGCTATTATACCGAGGGAAGCGTCACATTCCGTACTGACGGGCTCTGTTCCTTACGTCGTCCTGGATGAAAAAGGGCTGCATTATTTTCAACCGAAACATGTTTTCAGTGCTTTGAGACTTCCCAAAATAGCCACTCATTGGTTTTCTCTATACAAGTGTGAATTAAAAGATGTACTCACTAATTAGCCTTTCAGTTTGATTGAATTTGTACTTACTTAAACATATTGTGATATTTTTTTAATAATCGAACTATTTAAAAAAAGTTCAGGCTTATCAATCTTAGACTTTAAAAAAAACAAGTTAATCAGTGTTGTATCAGGTTGTAGATTTTTTTTTACTCCGCTGTTACCTAATATTGATTTATAAATGAACGTTCCTAGGTTCATATTGTTTGATAAAGGCTGTGTGCTTTCTAGTTATTACTGACTAATTTAGATTTATGGGACCAACTGTACGTTTGGCAAACAGTGCATTTCTCTTCAAATCCCTCTATAAATAATTTACTAAAGGGTTCAAATTGTATATGTTCGACAGAATCGCTGGTTTTGTTATGTATATACGTATATGTACATAATATAGTATAGTTTTGTTGATGTACAATAGAAGGAAAAATGTACCATTTTTTTCAGTGAGAACTGATTGTGATTAATATGATTATGTTTTCGTCGTTTTAATAAACGTATTTGTTTTTAGTATATTGTCTTTTTTATTAATTTTTTATTGTGTTCTCAATCACCAAATCCACCATAGTTTCCATTAGCTAGAAGTTATTCATATTTTAAAAAAAAACCAATCCCAATGAAAGGGATTTACAACAATTTAACGATGTTCCTTCGTAAATCTAGTCAAATGTCCTATAATAATTTTTAAAAAAATTGCATATAGCTGTCGTTGAAAGGTCCTTACTGGATACTCTGGACAGATATTTTTATCTTCTTTTACTTGTAGAACAGATGTATTTGTTTTGACTGAAAAGTAAGTGTTCGTATGTCAACCTCGTATAATAGAGTGGGGATGATATTATGTATTCTATGTATATGTAAATATTATATATTCTACAATTCAGATCGGTCATTCGACTGAAAATGCGTGCTTCTATGTCCATCCAGCCCACCGACGCTGTCATCTCCCTTTAAAAACGCCTTTTCAGCATAGTCCTCAAATTTTTATGGCATTTTTAGCGACAGAGGGTCATACCATAGTCAGGTCCTGACTTCTCCGCATCTAGACAAGACGGAACGTGGGACTTAAATAGTCTCTTCCATGCTCAGGGACTACTTCAACACTGGTGGGACATATCGAGGAATTTTTCTCACATATAATTATTTTGCCCAAAATGAAGTCTAATCTTAATTGGGTGAAATGATCCCTTATCTACAATGCACTTCTTCCGAGAGGCACCTATTGGCGAAGTTTATTATAAATGAGAGCTTATTCGACGATTCGGCACTAGGTTCTTCTATTCTTGCTAATAAATACTTTCATTTGCTCAAACCATATAACAGTCACAAAAACTGATACCGTATAGAAATAGAATACCTTTATTTTCTTCAAAAATCAGAACAGATGACCTAAAGACTAGGTAGTCAAATAAAATTCTCATATCAGGTGGCATTCCTACTCGCTCTCTACATTCAGCCATGAACGACATACACCCTCCAATCAAGTGGGGACATTTCCCTACATGCCGGATTCACGCTGGCTTTGCAGCAAAAGTAGGGGTCTTCACATGGCCCATTCTTAATAAGGTAAAGACCTCCATATCATCTACGATTTACGCTGAACTAAGAGGTTGCCTATTACCTTTGGACCAAACCCCGCGTGTATGTTCGGCATGTAGAAAAAGGTTGATGTGTTCCCCTATTGAAGGGCGTCATTCCTAGGTTCCATATAAAGAGCGTGTAGGAATGCCATCTTGTAAGAGAATTTGAGCAGCGAGTATCTGAGTCTCCTGTTCTGAGAACCAGAGATTTTTCTGTTCCTATTATATGGTTTGGCTAATTGGAAGCGTTTATTAGCTAGAATAACGGGAAGCTAAACGTGGAAATAATGTTAAAAAACCTAGAGACAAGCTTGTCATGAATCAGCAAAAAACATTTTCATCATATCTCCATTGAGTCATTCCGGCTTAGTGGAAATTAGAAGGGTACTGACCTACGTGGATAGACAATCAGCCTCTTCGTTACTCTTCTGTCCTATGTGCCTTGGGCCAAGGCAAGATTTTATTTTTTATTCCTACTTCGCCCAGGATGCAGTACCATACTATATGTGTTCTTACATCTAAGGCCAGTGCTTTGAGTGCAGCTTGTACATTAGAATAGATCTTTTTGTCAACAATATATTCCTTAGGAACTGAGGGATGTTCTTTGATGTGTGATTTGGACAAATTCCCCATGACAACTCATTAATGGCAATGTCGAGACGATTCAGCTTAGGAAAATGTGTCTAGAAAAAGCACCAAAGCGAAGAAACCAGGAGTCCAGTTAAGAAGCTGTTCTTTGTTCCTTCTTCTCCCAAGGAACTCAGGCAATCCCATGCTTTACGTGACCTTAACTTATCATGGCAGGCCTGTTTGGTTTTTGAGCCGTCCGTGTACCAAGAGAATCGGCGTTGACTGTTTGTTACTTTTTCCCTTTTTTTGGTAATATAATTTTTAAATATAATTTGGGACTTTATTTACTGAATTTTTGCATTTGGAAAACATTTCAAAAATTATTCTTCGTCATTCAAGATGTGGATTTATTTGTTGTGGCTCGTATTAAGCCAAAAGATTTTGACGAAGCGGAAAGTTTGAAAGTTTAAATTTAATCTGGACTCCCGCCACAAAAGATGTTCCCTTCATGATGGGTAAAAACAGAGGATTTTGCGCGGTTTAGAAGGAGTACGGACACCATGCGACGGGATTCAAATAATGTTTGATTTGGTTTATTGGCTGTTCCTCGTTGTGTTAATTTTCCCTCTCACATCGGCAAAGAAAAATGGACGAACTCGACCACAGACAACCATTCAGTCACCACTAATTTGCTTCTTATTTGGCAGTCGACCAGACGTCTGATCGACATCTAACCACTGACCCGATCGGCGTCCATTGTCATACACGGTCCATTTTTAGCCTCCTCGTATTACGCGCTCAGGAGATGACTTGTCTTTTGACGTACAAGCCGAGTTAACATAAATCTTTTGGCCTCAGGTCCTCGAATTTTTCATATTTTCTGAGTAATTTTTAGTCTCTAGAAACTGGCCACTTAATAGTGCCAAGATATGACGTGCTGTAAGTTTTCTGACAAGTTAATTAGTTGGAAGCGTAATTTAATTATTCAACACAGAAACAAAATATATATAACAACTTACAACATATGAAAAGATAAGTACATTTAACATTTGGACGTGAACTGCACCTCATTTTATTTCTTATCTTGTATACTTTTACATATTAGTAAAATGTCGAATTGGGTAGAAAAGACGCTTTGCATAAAGAAAGTTACGTTTATTTTCTAATTTTGACCTTAACCTGTTTATATACGTATTTCCTGCCCTTGAAACAGCAGAAAAATTTAATATTTCAGGGAGACATTGCGAAGAGATTCGCCGGGTTTCGAAAATAGAAATGGAAAGAATCAAAATGTGCACACCTAAAGATTGTCAGTCGTCCTTTGACAAACCCCGAACCTTGGATACGTTAATAACCAGGAGTCAGTCCAAAGAAGCATTTAATCGGCCGTGAAACATATTGGCAGGAAATACACATGCCCGAAAATGTATCCTCTCCATTAATCCACCTTGATTTGGTTCAATACTTCAAAACAAGGTATTTTTCGACCTACTTTGTTTTTGCTTGAAAGACATAAAAATGAGGTCTTACTCAACGTCACCCTTGAGCTGGTAACAGGTGCACTGATAAAACTAACGCTGTTTTGGCACTTTTTCTAGACACATTTTACCAAACTGGATTGTCTGGACGTTGACATTACTTCGGACTCATTACTGAAGGGAAATTTTCCAATTGGGAAAAAAATTGGAACCGAATGAGGTTAAGTTTATAATAAAGTTCACTAATTTCGTGGTCCGCTTGACCAATTAATATACTACAATTAATTAAGGTTTTTAGTTGAGATAAAAAAGTCAATGGCACGAGCGGGATTCGAACCCACGATCTTCGGCTTGATACGCCGCTGCTCTACCACCGGAGCTATCGTGACCTCGATCCACTCGGACACCAACTTCCTATCTCAACCCAACCTTTTCAGTTTTCCCTCCTTTTTGCCATTTTTCAAATGTCGCGTAATCGGTTTGGATTCTCGACGACAAAAAGGATTTTGAAAAATGGCAAAAAGGAGGGAAAATTCAAAAGGTGGGGTTGAGATAGGAAGTTGGTGTCCGAGTGAATCGAGGTCACGATAGCTCAGGTGGTAGAGCAGCGGCGTATCAAGCCGAAGATCGTGGGTTCCAATCCCGCTCGTGCCATTGACTTTTTTATCTCAACTAAAAACCTTAATTAATTGTTTATACTAAAGAACGTCCACTTCGGTCCCTGGGAATATATTATTAACAAAAAGATAAATTCTAACGGACTAGCTGATCAGAGCACGTATTGTATAGTACTTCGCCCTGGGTGAAGTAGGAATAGAAAATAAAATCTTGCCTTGGTCCTAAGGCACATAGGGCAGAAGGGTAACGAAGAGGCTGATGTACTATCCAGGGAGGGATTGTCAAAAGGACCAGTGGGACTACAACCCTTCTAACATCCCATTAACTAAGCTGGAACGTTTCAACGTAGGCATCATGACAACACCTTTACATCTTTGTGATTAATGACAAATTTGCCTCTAGGTTGTTCAATATTATCCCCATATCTAGCTTCCCCTTATTCTAGCTAATCAATACATTCAATTAGTGCAATCATATAACAGACTCACAAAAATGATTTCGTATAGAGTCGAAGACCCTTATTTCCGACGAAAACCCGAACAGGTGACCCAAATACTCACTGCTCAAAAACAATTCTCATATAGTGTGGCATTCCTACTCGCTCTCTATAAGAAGCCAAGAAATGATGACCTTCAATTAAGTCGAATACATCCAGCGACCTTTCTCTACATGCCGGACACAAACACCAGCTTTAGACCAAAACTAAGAGTCACCTCTTATGTCAGGGTGAATCGTAGAAGCGGGAACATCTTCAACGTATTAGGAATGGGCCATGTGAGGTTGACAATCAGACACTTACTTTCGAGCCAAAGCCAGTGTGTGTTCAGTATGTAAAGAGAGTTGGTTAATGTTTTCCACTTGATTGGAGGGTATATGTCGTCCATGGGTCCATATAGAGAGCGAGTGGTAAGAATTTTACTTGACTAGTAAAGTTATTCTGCTCTATACGGTTTTTTGTGACTGTTATATGGTTTGTGTAATTGAAAGTATTTATTAGCAAGAATAAGGAGAACCTAGTGCCGAATCGTCGAATAAGCTCTCATGTATCATGAACTTCGTCAATAGGTGCTCCTCGGAGGATCTGAATCGTACATGTAGGATCATTTTCATTCGTTTAAGAATGGGTCATGTGAGATTGACACGGATACTTAATTTTGGGCCGGAACAATTATTTTTCCAGTATGCTGAGAAAAATTGATCGATATGTCCCACTTAATTGAAGATTATCTTTCCTTGGCTCCGTATAGAGAGCGAATAGAAATGTCACCCGATGTGAGATTCGTGCTTGTATGGTTTATGTGAATTATTAGCTAGAATAACGGGAACCTCAACTCCTCTAAAGTATCTTCCTTATGGGCCAGGACAAGTCGTACCATCGGCTTTGGAGTCAATAGATAACCTATGATGAGATGCCTTTGGTACCGAACTTCGGACTCCCAGGTCGCATCAGTCCCATCTTAAAACTATTATCTGAACAACGGAAGCAGTGACTCCAAGCGGCTCTCCTAAATGAGGTCTGTCGACCTTAGCTGGAACGTCAACTAGTACAGAAGATAGAAAGCATTGGGTGTCTATGTCCGGATGTTAAAGATTCTCAGTTACTGATTCAACTCAGCTGAGTAAAGAGCCTGTACCTGAATCGACCAATTTGTTGCTTTAGTAACATCGTCTCCTTGTGCAATATCCCAGTTATCATTGCATATTTTGTTGCTTAGTCCATTTTCATGGTTTTCTTTAAAAAGTCATTAATTACAAAATTTGTTTGTGTGTGTTTGTTTATTATAAAGTAAATTCTAGAAGAAATATGGACCTCCTTTCGGAAAATTTATAACAAGGAAGACAGTGCCAACTGGTTTGGCAATTGAAAAGGTCTCATGTTTTAAGCTTGGTAGCATCGGAGATTAAGTTTTTAATAAAACTCCACGTTCATTAATTGTCAATTTTTGTTGACAGGGTGGAGCTGAGGTGTTCACCGTGTCGCAAGATTTCAAAGCAGACGAACCCGATGCGGTGAGCGTGCACAGAGGTGAAAAAGTGGTTTTGATGAACACCAGAAGCCAAGACCCATCGAAGTAAGTATCTACTACAAATTTAAATGACAAAAAAAAAGATTTTGTTTTACTGTTGTTCGTATTTTTAAAACCTGACTCATATTAAATTTTAACCCTCCTTTTTTGTAGGCACTTTTTCTTAATTTAAAATTAAAATGAACGATCTACTCAGATAGGAAACAAGATAACCCCATGATATTTTTTATTAACATTATAAGCTTTGTTTTTATGCTTTGCAAAGAAATAAAATCATTGGAAAATATCACATTATTGTTGGAGAGATACTTTGTTGGTTCCCCGGATAGGTCTGGTGAGTGACGTCTCAACCGACAGACATGCCTTAAAAGTACGATTAAAAATAAATAAGAGAGAAGCTCCTACATATCAAGAACAGGTAGATCTGAATCATAAAAAAGGATCATTCTAACCTGTCTAATAATTGACCGGGTAGAGTGGCCGATATTTCCTACTTAATTGAAGGGTGCCATTCTTTGGCTCCATATAGAGAGCGAGTAGGAATTTTTCGTAAGCTGTGGATCCTTGTGTCTCCTGTTCCGATTTTTCGGAGAAAATAATGGTATTTTATTCTATGGAGAATTATTTTCTTTTTTTTTGTTACATGGTTGGTGTAATTGAAAGTATTTATAAGCTAGTATAAATAGGGGAAATTAAAGAGGATCGCTTCTACCTCAACGACCTCAGCACGTTGTGCCATCTAAAAGACAAATTTTGATGGATCCTCTCAGCTGACCCAAGTACTGAGGTAGGGTAGACTATAAACGTAGACCGGTTCAAATTAAGGTGTGCTCTAATCTTAAAAGATAATCGCGTCCATCTCAGGATGTCGAACGGAATAGACCTAATAGACAGTCCTGGGACCCTAACTTCGGAGGCGGGACGGACCCTAGGTCTGAAGGAGAACTCCGACTGTCAAAACACCAAAGTTAAGCGGCTTACTGCTAGAAGTCATAAGCTTCTGTACATGAACGTGTATGTGAAGATGTGAGCATATACAGTGTGTTTAACTACTCGTACGACAAAGTTCGTCAGGAGCTTCTACTCCTCAAATGCAACAAAAAAGATTGTGTAACCATGGTCCGATCATAACCCTTTCGCAGCCATCCAAAATTTTATGTTGTTTTTTCTCAACTATCTTCAGTTTTCATCCTAAATCTACTCATTGCTCTTGAACTGATGATGCATTTTTGCATTTTTGAGGAAATCCATAAAAAGCATTGGAAAGAGCGTTAAATTTCCTCCAAGAAGGCCGCTTCTAAAACTTTCAATTTAACTTTTGGTAAAAAAAACACTACATGTTTCAAAAACTGCTAAATAAAAATATAAAAAATTGCAACCTCGTTAAAATTCACGGTAGAACTGGACAAATTTGATAATAATTTTTTCCTGAAATAAGTTTTGTATACCCTTTTCATTAATTATATCGAACCAAATCTCACAAATTTTATGTTAAATGGGTGACGCGGCGGTGTTTAAAAAAAAATTAGAGTGGAGTTATTCTAATGATTTTACTTTTTGTCCTGGGCGAATTTATTTCCCAACTGTAACTTAATAAAAACATTCAAAAGGTGGGGTTGAGATGGGAAGTTAGTGTCCGAGAGGATCGAAGTCACGATAGCTCAAGTGGTAGAGCAGCGGCGTACCTAGCCGATGGTCGTGGGTTCGAATCCCGCTCGTGACAATGATTTTTTAACTCAACTAAAAACCTTAATTAATTGAAAGATATTAATTAGTCAAGTGGGCCACGACAACTAGTGAATTTAATTTAAAAAAATTACAAAATGAAAGAAAAATCAAATAAAACACACAAAAAGAGACAAACATAGTGAAGTTCCAACAACCAAAACAGAAAATCAGAGATTACGATCTTCGGCTAGATACGCCGCTGCTCTACCACTTGAGATCGATCCACTCGGACATCATTTTCACATTTTTTTCATCTCAACTAAAAACCTTAATTAATTGTAATGATTTAATTGGTCAAGCGGACCACGAAATCTGTGAATTTAAAGAATTAAAATGAAGTACACTTCACTAAAGCTCTCCGTGGCCATTTCAATTGTCGTCGAGAATCCAAACCGATTACACGACATTTGAAAAATGGCAAAAAGGAGGGAAAACTCATAAGGTGGGGTTGAGATGGAAAGTTAGTGTCCGAGTGGATCGAGGTCACGATAGCTCAAGTGGTAGAGCAGCGGCATATCTAGCCGAAGATCGTGGGTTCGAATCCCGCTCGTGCCATTAACATTTTTTCATCTCAACTAAAAACCTTAATTAATTGTAATGATTTAATTGGTCAAGCGGACCACGAAATTAGTGAATTTAAACATATAATGTTGAAGTATACCTGCGAAAGGGTTGAGAATCGGGCATAATTCATACGAACTCTTTTATTGCATTTAAGGTGTAGAAGCACCTGACGTACTTTGTCATAAGATTAGTGAATCACCCTGTATAATTGACTGAAAAAAAAAAGAAAAAAAAAGAGGAAGAATGAGAAATCAATTGTTCTTTTTGAACAAAATCAGGAAGGATTCCTTTTGTTATATGAATATTTTTAATTTCTTGGGTTCCTTCAGATTCGGAAAACCTCCATATCCATTGGGGACAAATGATATCTTGAAGTGACTTTATTCTGGATTCCTACTTTGATGATTTCAATGAGAAAGCACTTTCTTAATACATATGTGAATCATGCGGCATTGTCAGGAGTGAAGTTGCTTGTATATATTTTCATATTATTATCTCGTTTAGTCGATTGGCATGTATTCAAGGTAGAAAAAATAATCATATGAAATTGCCGAGGACAGCCGATTTGCCCGAATTATGAGCTTTCCTTTTTTTTTCAGTGATGAGGGTTGGAAAATCGCTATACCCGTTTATTATAAGTCTGGTACATGCGAATACAGAAATTTATTTTTAAAAATAAAAACCGTGCACTTTTTCATTGGCTAAATGTCGACTTATAACACCTCGTTAATGTCCTTAAGCTCGTAAATAGCCCGCCTTTTAATAGAAAGTACAATTTAACTTTTTAACGGAGGGAAAATGTCGATGCCAATAAATAAATCTTTTCCGTCATCCTCCTGTGCCAAGAGATGGGCTGAATTATTATTTCGAGATGTTACCCAGATTTCCACACTTCCGTCAAATGAATCTCGGCGAAAACATTTTATGAGGTGTACGACTTTTATTATTCGCGTAAAAACAGCAGATGGGCAGGGTCGACGTTTTCTCTTTGTGTGTCAAGAGATTAAAATGTAACGAAGTCTAAAGTGACTATTATTATGGCCAAAAGAAAAACTGCTTCACAGCTCAAAGAGACAAAGGCAATAAAAGATTTGGCATTGGTGATATCTTGTCGGGCAGGTTTCTGTCCTTCATCCAAAATAGGTAATTTGCTGCCTTATATTTTTTTAAAGTTTTTGAATTAAATAATGTGAAAGCCCCAATAAAAAATAGTCAAGTTCAATGTCAAGATTTTTAGGGATTTTATTATGTAAGTGCCATCTTCTTCCAAGAGGATCTGATTTCAAAATATTAATGCCATTTGAATAGATTGAACTGCCATTAGACACTGGATATCTAAATTCATACAATTTTCCAAACGTAAATATTATAATTTCTTAGGTCGCAAACGTAAGTTAACTCATCTCGGGGTTATCAGTCTTAAGGATTTCTTCCTTTTTCATTTAAACTTTCGTTCAATGTGTCCAAGCTTCTTGGAAGATTTCCATTTATTTAATTAATTAGAGACTCATTCTATCGGTATGGACAATGTTCAAGAATGGCTTTGTACATACGATAAATTTTGCCTTGCTATGCTCAGTTATTTCTGTCTCCTTTAAGGCTTAAAGTTTGTTTCTGCAGCAAATGTCAAAAATGTGGGAGCGTACAGTGCCATTGCCCATGGCAGTATTTGTTCAGTGTGGATAGAGTGGACATGCTCAGGGCAGTATTTGTACCAAAGTCAATTATTTTAATATAAGCCAAATTAAGCGAGATCAAAAATTCACTAATTTTTATATGTGGTGAAGTACGAAGTCAGAACTTATGCAAACTATTTCTTGCAATACCCTCTTATTCCACACTATCGTACCGAACGAAAAATTTTTATTTGTTTCTTACTAAAAAATTCTAATCATAAAAATAAAATAATTAATCGGAATAGGAATCTGAAAAAGATGGACTAATAAATTTTTTCATAAATAATGGCCATCATAGGAACACTCACTTTCCTCTTTTATGGTAGTATTCCGTCGTCATTTCTATTCCTAATGTCGGAACACACTTACCCGATGAAACGCTATGCGACGCTACCCGACGCCTTGTCACGTTTTGGTAGGGTGTGCACATCTATGCGACGTCAAGCGCACGCCACGTACAGTCACACATCGTGTATCACAATAATCATTATCACAATCGCAACGCCTCTTTTGTTCTTAATGCATTATTTTGAGCAAAACCATGTAATAAATTGTCAGTTAAATTTTATGAGCACAACCATGTAATAAAATATTTGTTAAATTTAATTTTTTTAAATAAAGTTATTCCGGTGTTTTGATAAATTTTCTGCCTAACAATCGTAATTAAATAATTTTTATAAAAACTCATGAATTTTTTATCTCGTTTAATTTGGTTTATATTAAAATAATAATTTTGTAATTAATATAACAACAAAATTACATATACACAGTTTGAAATAAACTACAAAAAATATGATTGTCCTGTTCTGACGCTACTCAACGAAAATGGTGTAATTTTATGAGCAAAACCATGAAATAAATTGTTAGTTAAATTCACTATATCAACAAATGGCATTCCGGTGTTTTGATCGATTTTCTACCTAACCATTAAAATTATTTTATTTTATTTTATTTTTTTAATAAAAATTAGTTTTTTAGTTGAATATATAAAATATATTTTGCATTGTATAAATTCACTTTTCCACATCCAAAATGTAATTGTAATATGTAAACAATGTTTGTAAATCCCAGGATCTACCTGAAGATGATCTCAATAAAGATCGAAATGTTGGCACGACAAAGAAAATGTTTTTCTGAAACCTACATCACACCAGACCGCATCTCACGATTTCTAAATAAATATCGATTAACGGTCACTAATCACCACATATAAAAATTAGTGAATTTTTGATCTCGCTTAATTTGGCTTATATTAAAATAATTGTGTTGTAATTAATATAACGATAATAATAGATATAGTTTGAATAAAAATATGAGTGTCCGGTTCTTTTGTCTTCGATTGTACTCGATGCTACCCGACGAAAATCTGGACGGGGGGATCACAGAGCGTAGAGTAGGGTAGCGTTACATAGCATCGGGCAGATGTGCACTGAGGTAATAGTGTAATACAACCTTGTGGAAAAATGGACTTTGGATTTGCGTCGGGTAGCATCGGGCGTGTGTTCCCCGCTTCAAGGTCACAAACCTTCCAAACACATCAACTACAGACACATCAGCTTTTTAACTTTGAAGTCCAAAATGTTTGAAAGTCTCCTTTTAAAACGTTTAATACCCGTTCTAGATTCATATAAAATTCCTTCTCACTAAATCGGCTTCCATCTGTCTACTAGCATCATTTCGGAGTTATTCACATCATTTCTTTAGTTCTAGAGAACAAATAGCATTTGGTGCGTTCCTGGTGAGGACATGTTTATAACATTCCTACCCTCATTATCCTTATACTTTAATCTAATTTGAACAAAGATTACCTCATGATCTTCCCTTAATCTTTGTTCCCTTATTTTGTTAATTGTAAAAATGTATATAGATATTGTTTGCTTAGTAGATATGAGACATTATCTGGGTTTAATGTGGCAATGTTTTTTCTGTTGTTCAGAAAAGAAAAATGCTACTAATCCATAGTTAGTTGGGCGTTAATAATACTACAACAACAACAATAATGCGTTGTGTGTGCAGGATAAGATCTAATATTAAACGTTTTTAAATTAAAAAGAGGCTGATTTTGTTTGGAAAGGCTTACAATTGCTTCAAGGTAGAGTATGATTGTTGGTTTATGTTGGGTGGCGAATTAAAACCGCATAGCTTCCGCATGAGGAGCCGATTCGTGAGAATTGTATTTACATTGTCCCATATTGGCATTTTCAGACGAGTCCGATTTGACTTCGATCTCGATTTAGATTTCGGAATGGACGTGGAGCAGTTGTTGGACACAAGCGCGGCCAAACACAAGATGTCGGTTAAACCGAAACGCAACTACATGAAAGGATCCTCACAATCAAGGTACCAGGCTCACATCTACATTACATACTAAATACAACAATTAACATACACGCGTCAATTTTAATACTAACAGATTCACAATAGTACCTGGAATATAGAAAAGAAACCATCTAGTTAGAAGGTAGTTTGAATTTTAGCATGTAGAAAATTAAGCGATTAACTTATTTTTTGCAAATCATTATTTTTTTATTTTGTGAGATTCACCTAGTTATCGAGGTTGTCAATATTTTTCTGTAGTTCTTGAAGGTCATTAGACTTAACAGCTGAAATCTAATGCCACTTTCCAGCTCATCCACTAGGCTATAACGAAGGCAAAGAGATGTGGGCTATGTGGACTGCAAAGTATTGGGAGAGTTTTTGGGTTCTGCATACCCATGTCCATACTAATGACCTAAAATAGGAATACGAATATTCTCCGTCCCAAAAAAATCCACACTCTCCCTAATCCGTACTTCTGGATCCTTCAGGGCTAGCTTCTGGTTTTAAACAGTTAGCAGAACGAACAGTCAATTCCAGATCGTCAACTGCACGCAGCAAAATAGGATCGAACTCTGGCTTCTCGTCTTTAACTTCAATCTTAGTAACATCGCGTAAATCAACGAACGCTTCGAGTTGTTCAACCAAAATAGTTGCTGCAACGAATCGCTTCTTCTGGATCAATTGTGCCGTTGGTTTCCAGCTGGATAACCAGCTTATCCAAAAAAGTAAGTTCTACACGCGTCGCTGTTACATTGACTTTCCTAACTATAAAAAAATCCTTCCATCACTTTTACGCAGATCACTTCCAAATTCACCTTTCGTAACTTGCAAGTTGTAATTGTAGAAATCCAGGAAGATTTGAATTCAATAAGCCTCCGCAAAAAGCGGGCTTAATTTGAAAACGAAAGCTGGAGGCTATGCTGTTTGGTTCCAGTTCCAGATCATTATTTTTTTATTCCGTGGGATTCACCTACTTTTGAAAGGTGTCAATGCGTTTCTATAGTTGCCAAGGATCATCAGCTACAATCGCTCGACTTTAATTCAACGTACCAGCTCATCCACTAGGTCAGATAAAAACAGTACAAAGAGAGGTGGACCCTGTGGACAACCTTGTGTGACTCCACAGATGCAGATCACTCCAAATTTACCTTTCCTAACTTGCAAGTCGCAATTGTAAAAATCCCGGAAGACTGAACTAAATAAGGACAAAACAGGCTTGATTTAATTGTATGAACATCCTAGGCTGCAGTGGATCCAGTTCCTCCATTACCTTGTATCACCCAATTTACAATTAACAATCATTCGATTTCCTTTTGCCCCACCGTCAAGAAACTTGTGTACTTGTCCTTGAATCCCCATTTGTCATATATCAAGCTGGTCCTTTCCATCCTCCATCGTGTCACTTTCCCGTTAGTTTTCTTTCTTGTTCTATCCTACTTCGACTGCAGTCGGATTAGGTGGGACTCACTGAGCTTGAAGATCAACTTAAACGTCTAACATTTTTTCTGAAGTGGTTATACCGAAATCTCACCACTCAGACCTCTTTAGAATTCCCTAAACACAGAACCACTAAAAAGTAGATCTGATGATAAAAAAGGTTGAATGTTTTTTTTGTTTTTTTTTGAGCAATTTTTGATAAAACTAGAGTGTACAATTGTAAATCGATCATTTATAATAAATATTTAGTAAAGGGTAAAAATTGCTATTTATTTTTGAAAGGAAATTTATATTTGTTGTGAGAATCCAATTATAACTATCGCCTATAGGGTCATATTTATTTTGCATCATCTGCCAGTTTGTTCTTATGGCGCCGATACGCCCTTGATGGCAAATATAGGACAGTATTTTTATCCAAGGAACGTCGAAGCATAATAGAACGTACTTATTATAAGATATTGGTTATTTGCTGGGAGTGAATCTTAAGAAAAAAAATGTCTAACCTTTTCTTCCTATAAAAATAGTCTATTATGATTGAAAGTAGAAAATCTGTACTATTGGATTTTACCTTTTTCTTTGGAATAATGTTCAAATGTTGTTTTTTGAAATAATTCTCCACATTATCAGTGTGATGTTTTATGGCAAAATAATTTTGTTGTAAAAAAAAATATATGGAGCTGCTAAGACGTTATGCTGGCATTGGGCTTTCACGCAATGAACTTTCCACTTTCTATGGGCCCTTATATAAATTTAGAAAAAATATTGTGGCTTTAAAAAGGTCGCAACATTGTCTCGCGTAGTTCTTCAATATTTAGTGATATTTATAGTTTATCGTTTCTGGAATGATTCCAAAAGTGATAACCATAAACCAGATCCTAGTGTAGGAGACATTGTTCATTCCTTGAACAGACAGAGTGGTTATGATTTAAAATAATTAAAAAATGTCATAAATTTACGTTAAACGTTGATAAAAGATGGGTTAAAATGATTACAAATCATAGGCTTTTGTACGTTTAAATCCTAATATTTTCCCAACAAAACCTGCATCTGTTCACAAATACGGATGAACCTGCTTAAGTAATATCTTCGTGACACGGAGAAAAGTACCGCCTTCAAGACAACGTGCGGGATATTTTAATTTTCGACCCGTGCGAAAAGGAAACTTAAAAATATCGAGTGGGGGTGGGTGTGAGTCACACAGACCTTGCCACTCTGATCAAAATAAATACGTTATATGTCATGAGGAGGGCAAGACCCGACTTCCACCCTTCACAAACCTTGCTTAGGTCACTACTTAATTAAAACTCTTTTTCTGTTAAATAATATCGCGGATTAGTAAGTTAAGTTTTTAAGAGTTTAAAATTTGTAATTGGGTGATGAAACTGTAGTTTGGTTGTTTTCGATCATTTTTTCATTCTTCTTTTATTTACTGTTTTGGTTGTAAAAGCCGATATTGAGGCTAAGTATTGTTCATCATTGTCATCAAAAATAATGATCAATGATTGTTGGGTGGACCCTGGCTGCTTGTTCCATCAGTGGATGTGACTCGGCGTGCTCTTCAGTCATTGGCGTGTGTTTAGAAGACGGAAGCACTGCTAAAGTAGTGGTGACTCCCAGGAGTGCGCCTGATTGGAATGACCCATCTACGAGTTGCGATTATGGGCTTATTTTGTTAGAAGACTACTATCCGGAGAGGTATTTTAAGTTCAAAATTATTACAATTGTGTGGTGTTTAGTGACCGTTACTTAATGATTATTTACAGAATTGCTTAGTAGGGTCGTAAATGGCACATCCGACATTGCCACTTATTATCGAACCATCCGTAAAAATCAAGTGGTTGTTGGGGAAGTCGTTGATTCACTTCCTCTATAAATAGTAAATTTGCAATATGCGGGGGATATTCAGCATAATCTTGTAAATAAAGTGTACTTAGAGGACTAGTAGCTTTTTGATAGTCAAGTTGGTACATCGGGTGGAGCAGATGTTTACACATTGAAAAAATATCGGAAATAGCAGACAAAAAGGCACTTTTTCGGGCAAAAGGGGATTTATTTTTCCTCCAATAACTCTCGGTCTGAACCAATTCCGTCAATGCTGAAATTTTTGGTAAAAGAGCACTCTCAGTATGTTGCAAATTTAGTAATTTATTTATAGCTAATTTTTGTATTCTAATTCACCCGCTTCCGCGGAAAGGACTACCTTAGGTGTGCTTGGTAGCGCACCCCGAATCCGTCTAATACATTACTAAAGGTGTGAATTTTTTAAAAGTCCGTATCTGACGCTTATCCGTAAAAAATCGACCCGAAATCCAAAATCGATCTAATCGAGGATTTGTAAAATAGTAACCCCATCGATGGCTCAGCTCCCCATCTTGCGCCAGTGAAACTGCAAATTACATTGTACAATTTTTCGCATTTTGTTAGGGTATTCTTAATATGTGTAGTCCAAGACATTTTGCGGTCTAGCGTTAAACCTAAAAACTTTACCTGGAGTTTCACTGGGAGTGTATATGAACCTAGTTTTGCCCTGCTTGGTAACTATACTTTTCTTCTTCTATTGAAGGGACATAGAAATGATTTTGTTTCAGATATATCTAATCCATTATTACTCAACCAGTCCTTAAAAGCAGGGATAAAATTAACCAGTTTGTTCATACATTGGATCGTGAAATCACTTACCACATATATACACATATCATCAGCGTATTGTACTGCCTTAATTCCGTCGGGAATTATTGTAGTTAAGTCTGATACGTACAGGGCATATAGAATAGGACTAAGAATTCCTCCCTGAGGAAGTCCTTTAAAGGAGGTTCTTGGTCCTATAAGTTTATCACCTTTATTTATTTTAAAGTAAATTTTTCTGTTGGTTATTAAGTTCATGATATTTACAATGAACGCAGTGGGGAGGCCTAATTTTTTTAAGTTTGAGATGTAGCGTGTGAAAGTTTATGTTGTCATATGCTCCACATACATCTAAAAACAGCGCAAGAACCGTTTTGTTATGAGTTAGAGCTATCTGTATGTCAGCATCAGTTGAGCATCCACAGCCGATCTGTTTCTGCGAAAACCGAATTGCGTTTGTGGAAGTACGTTGTTTCGTTCCAACCTTAACTTAATCATTCGTTCAAATGTTTTTCCAACGCAAGACATCAATGCTATTGGCCGATATGAATTCGGAGAATATTCTGGTTTACCTATTTTTTTAATTAAAATTATTAGGGATTCTTTCCACGATTCGGGGACCTCTGATGACCGCCATATTTTGTTATACATCTCTAACAGTATTATTTGTGCGAATTGAGGCAGGTTGCTTAACATCTTATAATGTATTTCATCCATCCCTGGACATGTATTATTTGAATTTTTTTAACATTTAGTTCTGCCATAGAGAAGGGATGTAGCATTTCGCAACAAGTTTGTTCTTTACCGGAGATCTCTTTTTCATTGTTCGATGGACCTTGGGGACATAGAGCCAATATAAACATCCTCTATACATTGACCATACATATGGGGCATCGGCTGAGGAGTGTGAACATTTTTTATCACCCTTAGTTTGTTCCAAATTACTTTAATTGGCGTGGACCTTTTAATCGTGGAACAAAAGCGTTGCATCGGGTAGGCGTGTTCCCCGCGTTATTCTTGATTACCAGCGTGCCATCGCGTTGTAGACACAATTGCTACGGCCATTGAGCAATATAAATTTTGTTCCGGTGTATACCTTGATGTGAAGCAATCCTTCAATGCAGTATGGCACTCGGAGCTGTACTCGAAGCTCTCTAGGTAAACCAACAGATCATTTCAAATCAATCAGCCTGTGCACAGATGCACAGGAAGACAACGCAGTGTACACGCAGACACTCCACCAATATCTTTCACACCTAATGTATCCACTAAACAAATCTGATCAACATATCAAACAAATCCCCTGAATTCGAACTACTTAAAAATCCTTCACATTTTCAAGGTTTCCATTCAACTCCAGACAAATTTTGTCTTCAAGTTACATGAGATTAAAACTTTGAGCGCTTCCTGACTGCCATAGGGTTTTGTCTTCTTAGAGTGAACTCCAATTCTTTTTATTTCTCTCGTCCAGCGCTCATTGCTATAATTTCCGACTGGAAAAAACAGTCTGCCTTAGGCGTAACGACCTAGGCGTTAGCTGCGTTAACTCCAGTCTCTTCTTTTCAATTTCAAATCAAATAGAGATCAACGTACAAGTAAATAAAACACTCACGAGAAAAATGTAAAATTGTACATTTCGAATAACACGAAACTGCCTTTGCGCAATGGCAAAGTCTGACCAAAGGAACAGCGAGTCAGCGAAGCCAGGTTGTTCCCCCCTCGTTCTTAATCAGCAATTCTCATCGTAGTATAAATACCTTTTTCCTTTTAAGCGTTTTAGTCATACGCTAGATCTTGGCCGGCTTAGGTTAATAAGACAAATCGCATATTGCAATATAATGTAATTTTTATTATAAATTATATTTTTACATTATTTTACAAGATGATTATATTGATGACTTTCAACAAAACTGCATTTGAGTAGGAGAATTTTGATCCCCTAAGTGGCTCTTAAAATAAGATTACTATTATATTGAGAGGTAGTAATTTTAAAAAAAAGTATATATATCACAAATTAGTTACTGATGTTTTGTCGTGATGTTGCTTCTTGTCTCACAGGTCGTTGATGAATAAAAATGTATATTGTTTGTAAGAAAAAATATGTTCACGTCTCCGATTGTTCAATGTATAAAATATAGACTTTTTCGTGATGAGAAAGTTTGGGGTGGACAAACTGCTATTAGAAAGCTATTTTTGGTTGAGCAAGGATTAGGTTAAAAATAAAACACTTTTTATCCTCTTTCATGCAGATTAGGAAACGATTCGGCAATCGTATTTCTATTTCAATTATGGATAATAAGTTCGAAACTGTCGTGGATCGGTTACGTAAATGATCATATTTTCGCGTTAAATTTTGTTAATTCAATGTTTCCCATCCGAAAAAAAAAATTTCATTGAGAAAACAAGCCGAATGATGCAATGGAAATTATAATATTTGTTCAAAGAAAAAATAACAGATTTAGAAATAACATATCTCTTCTGATTCCGACAAGTTGAAAAATACGGCCTATTCCTGACGTAGGCGGAACGAATCGGTCTTGTAACGTCACGACCAGGCCGCTCTTTAACACAGAAACAGTGGATACAATTTTCACCTTTTTCCTCGGAGAAATTATGTAAAATTCTGGTACATAAATAAACAATTTTCTGACGTCATTAATCTATGATAATGTACTGATTATATTCTTGACATTTTTCCTACGCTTAAACTGATAAAATATACCAAACCACGAGGACAATGCCAACTGGAACCTTGCAAGGATTATTCAACCTTTACGACAAAGAAAAACTAGAGCTCATTGCTCTTACATGAACAACCTTCAAGTCTAGGCCATGATAATAAACAGCCAAAACTGTGGGAGGAGTGGGGTTATAGGAGCCCGCTGATGTTCCAATTCTCAAATTCGATGTTCATCGAAAAGGAAGACCTTTTAAAAAGAACCTTAAAATCAAATCTGCCTGGTACAACTACTGCACAAAAACCGAGAAGAGCACAGACCATAGACTGAATTAAACGTAGGCAGATACGCTATGGGTTTTTAGTCGAGAATAATAAAGCTTGCAGTCCACTCTCAGATAATCTGGTAGGTAGTCTGCTCAAACTTTTACCTCATTTGAAGTGAACATATAATATGTCTGTATTTCCATGGAATCCTTGGCGGTAGTTAGTGAGCATTCCTGGGTTTTTGGGTTTCACAGTTATTCAAGGTCAGTCAGCTTTGATGTCAAAGCAACAGCTCTTAAGCTGCTACAAGGAAAGTCACCAACAAAGCAAGGGCAAGTTAATAAACAGGTAAAGCTGATGAGGAGTATGGTAGCCATATTAGGTATGCCAGCTGATGTAACAACTCCCAAATACAACATTAACAAGTAAACCAAAGGAACCCTTAGACCAATTCTGTCTGTTACACTGTTCAAAAACCGTGGAGCCGAGGAGAACACAGGACAAATACACATAGCTTTACCTTAGTGAATTACCAGGGGTTTTTTTAGTGGAAAATTATAAAACATAGACAGGAAAGGGGCGTCGTAGACTGAAACGGAGGCGTTGACACGGCGCGCATCATGTAAGGTAATGGTCCTGGGTTCGAATTCACCGACGTTGCATTCGAACTTGACGTACTTACAAATGTTTTTTTTTTCCAAAAACACCGGCGCCCCGAGGGTTCATAGTTAAAACAGACTCGTTTAAAGAGAAAAAAAATACAATCTAACATTCAGTCCAACTTTTACCTCATGTAAGGTGAAGTCAAAATGCGTTGCATGGTATCCTTAGCGGGGGTCTGTGACAATAGGTCGACGAGAGGGGAGTGACTAGTCCATTCTGGTAGATTATCACCTTTGAGACACCGCAAGAAATTCATAGAGAACCCATGCGAAAAATTCACAGAATTACTATAGGATATGTAAAATAAAACGAGGAATCCGTTTAATCTATCCACCGGACCCTATCGCATGAAAAATCAAACCGGATAAGGGTACTGGCAGAAGAAACATTATGCATTGTCAAGAATAGCCGGCCAACATATTCTGGCCTATTAACGAAACCCTTTGCCACCGTTTCGTTGCCTCCAGACCATCGAGGAGGTCATACACAGGTTTAGGGAAACCCTGCAGTTCAACATGACATTAGACAACGACGAGACTACAGCGATCCTGCTACGACCGATACCGGGTACTGTTATTCGAATCCCCCAGACGCATAGCAAATCACACAAGTCCTCCTTACATACCAAAGTGCTGTAAGAGAGAAACTTTGTGCTTTTACTTCTTCAGTCTGAGAACGAATGCACATAGACTCTTCTCGAATAATTTTCTTTTGACTTGACTTTTTTTTCAAGATGGAGCATCCAATCATTGGAAGATCCGGAGAAGCAAGGGCTGGTGCCGATGGTTCTCCTGACACCGCATGAAGTCTCGCCTATGTCCGAATCAATGCAAGATATCGCATTTAGAAAAGAGTTAGTGCTTGAATTGGTTTTCTTAACTTCCTGTACAGGCAGATTACCACAATTTGATCAAGTTTTCTACCATTAGGGCCGTTATATCGGAGCTGGTCGAGACAGAAGAAGAATTTTGCAGGGACCTGATGCAGGTAGTGGACAGATACATCCGACCCTTGGACGGGCCCACGGTGCCGAGATTCGTCAGCGACAAGAAGGAGTCACTCTTCGGCAATTTCAGGGAAATCGCCATTTTCCACAACACGTATGTAATATTTTTTGCAATTATGTATTTTTATGTTTAGTCGCAGGTTTTGGATAACCGGAAGAATGTTAAATAAATTGTAAACATTTTACGAATAGTTAGGGTTAGCTCGATGTATTTTTAAATTTTTATTTTTTTATGATCTCTATCACTAAACTTTCTTTCGTTTTATCACAGACTGCGGTGAGTACAATATTATTAACGATTATTGGTGGTTTGTTATGTAATTAGTTAATCCATATATCTTTTGTAGTTTCTATTGATATGACTGATAAACTATTGATGAAAAGTGACATATCAACGGAATGTTTTACATTTCAAATAATTTAACGTGGATGCTTTTGTGCTGAATAAAATGTTTTATGATGTGGAAACTTAAGTTAGGAGGGATTACTTCAGGTAAGGTTAGGTTAGGTTAGGTTCAATATCGTTATGATGGTTGTTAGATGAGGTTAGGTAAAGTTTAGGAAAGAGATAGGGACGTTTTGAGTTTAGGGAATAATTCTGGGGCGGTTTTGGATAGCTCAGTTAAATTAATGGGCAGGTTAGGTAACATAGGAGTTAGGTTAGGTTTAGATTTAATTTAGATTATCAGTGTAACATTGTAATGAGTGATGTCTATTTCGCTTTGTTTTTCTTTTTCTATGTCCATTTCTACCCTATTTTAACGGATACAAATTTCCTTTTCAGAAGAGGCCGTACTTTCTGTTTAAGCATAAAATTCTATAGGTTTTAAGCACTTTTTCAAGATCATTATAGTCGTTCAAAGAAAGGTAAAAAATTTGCCATTTTTTGGAAAACCTTTTTCAACAAACATTTGGCCTCTATGTACACTACGAATTGTCCAAGGTGTTTTAAAAATCATATTATTCATTATTTTTTGGCGAAACCCTAAAGTTGAGTCAAATTGTTCAACTTTTTTCTAAAAAATATTTATTTCCAGGGTTTTAAAAATTAATGCCCTCTATGGCAATTTGCCTGTTATTGCTTTACAAAGCGATAAAACAACTGTTTCAATTTGATAGTTTTGGCGAAAAGTTTACGGAAAGGTTAGCGTACAACTTTCCAAGAAAAGCTATTTTAAGACCTAGCTTGAAGTTTTCTTTTTCCGGCAAGTTTTCGATAAAATCCGAATCCTCTCGCAGTAGGGATAGACGAAGTTTAGTAGAGAAGATATATTTTGTGACACAAAATACACATAAAAGAGGAGAGAGAACAGCGTAAAAGATGGCAGTTAAAAGTCACATGAAAATATAACACATCGATTTTTCTTGCGTTAAGCATCTATGAAGATTAGTTGGGAAGATATTTTTCGACAGAAAATATACATGAAATACAAGCATCTTGAAACAGAGTAACGGAGGACGAGTTGCTACATCAAGGCAAAATAGTATTTCAATACTATTTTAGCAAAATCTATTTCAACCAAATTTTTATATTTTATTATCCTTATTATTGTACGAATTTGTAAAATAGAGATTAAATTATTTTCGGCAACAACCGAAAATTGTGCCAAAATGTTACACCCGTTTTCAATAAAAAATATTTATATCTCGGTTCCTGGATGTTTTTAATAACATTTTTCAAAATAATGCTGTAAAGTTGTTTGTCTGTTATTATTTTACACAAAAAAAAATCGTTTTCATATGATGCATAGTTTTGGATAAAAGAGTAGTGAAAGGTGAAGATGCAACCTTCCTGGGAAAACAATTTTCCGATCTACATCTAATTTTTAAAATATGAAAAAATCACATGAAAACGTAGCATGTCGATTCTTCTTGCCATAGTGATCTATGGAGTTCAGTTGGGGTGATATTTTTTGACAGAAAATGTACATAAAATACGAGCATCTTCGAACAGCGTAAGGGAGTTGAAGTTGCTAGATCACCAAGGCGTGATTCAACCTTCTTGGAAAAGCAATTTTCCGATATAGCTCAAATTATTAAATAAAAAAAAATCAAATGAAAATGATCCCTCTTCTAGAAGAAAGTTTTTTTTTGGCACATAATAAACATAAAATACAAGAATCTTCAAATAGTTTAACGGATAGTGAGTTTGTAGTTATGCAACCTTCCTGGGAAAGCAATTTTCCGATCTAGCTCAGATTATTAAATTTAATAAAAATCGAATGACAATGATCCCTCTTCTAGAAGAAAGCTGTGTTTGACACATAATAAACATAAAATACGAGAATCTTCAAATAGTTTAACGGATAGTCATGCCGGAATACGTGATTCCCGAATTTCAAAAAATATTTGAAACACTTCTAAAGTACTGAATTTCACGAGAGCTTAATTTATTCTTTGCATGAAAAGGTCGTAACACAACATTTAACACTGTAAACTATTAATAAAAGTTTCAAAGTCATGATGATAATACAGAAATTGACTATTTTCTCTGTTCGCGTTTTTCTATCAGACGCGATTGTTCTTCCATTGCACAAAAATATTCCACATTTTAATAATTCAGCGTGTTTGATTCGGTTTAATCACTAATTAATACCCTACCACACTTCTATTTCGAGAATGATTAAATTATCTTTTCTTTTCTCCTATCAATCTTGATTATGTGCCAAAAGTCGTTCGTGTATTTTGAAAGTTGTGTTTTACGTTTGGAGATTATCGCCCGGGTCCAGATTTAGACTGAGATAACTAAGTTCTCAAAGAAATCACACTCTGCATAAACCTAATTAATTATGTCCGAGGGCCTGACGATTTTTGGATCTGGTTACAACGGCGTTGAATAAAAATAATAATTGAATTAAATCATTTAAACCTAATCATTGTACGGTCTCTCTGCGTTTGTTTAAATTCGCGAAAAACATCCTTTTCGTCCTTTTTTCAGAAACAAAAGGTTTTTAATGTCTGCAATGTCAAAACAAACAATATTTCAGACCACCCAAATCGACTTTCCCTAAAAAATAAAGTATCTTAGTACATTCTCCTAATTTTCACTTACTTTACAGTTTATATTTTATATTGTAAAAAGTTGGGAATCAACCTCGAGATCCGGTGTACCTCGATGAACTAGCAACTCACCACCCCGCACTTACGCTGTTTGAAGATTTTCGTATTTTATGTTTATTATGTGTCAAAAACTACTTTCTAATAGAAGAAGAATCGGCTTGTTACATTTTTATGTAATCAGTTTTCTTTAATTCCAGCTAGATCGGAAAATTGCTTTTCCAGGAAGGTTGTATTTCACATTTCGGTACCCTTTTATCCAAAACGGTTCATAATATTGAAATAATTCCCCTTGCTTTTTGTAAAACAGTAACAAGGGGCGTTAGCGCTCATCACTGTAAGGTAAAGGTCTCGGGTTCGAATCCAGCGGCACTGCATTCAGACTCGACATACTTGCAAATGGGCTTTTTTTGCAAAAACACCGGCGCCCTGAGGGCTTATATGACCTCTGCTGTTGCGAACCTCGTAAAAACAAAAATTTAAAAAAACAGGCAAACGACTGTAGAGAGCATTATTTGACAAATGTTATTATAAAACACCCAGAAGGAAGAAGGAAGATATGAATGTTTTTGTATAAAAAAAGGGTGTAAGATTTTGTCAGAATTTTAGGTTGTTGCTAAAAAAAAAATGAATCTCTATTATGGAAAAATCCTTAGCTACGAATCCATTACGACTAAGGATAAAAAATATGGTAGTTATAGATCAAATAAATTTTGAGAATGAAATATGGCAACTTTTTGACCTCTCCTTGAACAACTTGTCCAAATATACTAAACTTATGAAGTTTGATGATCAACCAAAAATTAAAATGGGTTTTAGAGAGAATTAAGCTTCTCCCAAAAAAATCTGAGCTTTAGAAGTGCGTGAAAGAAAGTTTTGAAAGTTGTGAATTAAATGTTACGGTGTAACTTGCCTTGATGAACTATGAACTATGCCTTGAAGTTGTCATCTTTGCTGTTCTTTCTCGTCTTTTATGTATTTCGTGTCATAAAATAAATACCTTCCCAACTAAGCTTCGTCTATCCCTACTGCGAAAGGATTCGGCGTGGAAGGTTTTTACGGCGAAAACTGGTCGGAAAAGGGAAAAATTCTAGCTAGATCGGAAAATCGGTTCATAGACCCCGCGGTCGTGGGTTCATTTCCCACCGTCGCCTCTGGCCTTTTTTTTCACGCTACCCTTCCCCCCCAAAACGAATACGCATAATAACATTGTTTTTGGCTAATATGCACAGAGCATAAAGCCATTAAAAAAAATTCCCCGGGTTCGAATCCAGCGGCCCTACATTCGAACTCGACATACTTACAAATGGGCTTCTTTTTTTTTCAAAAACACCGGCACCTTGAGGGTTTATATGACCTCTGCTGTTGCGAACCCTCGTAAAAAAGAAAAAAAAACTGGCAAACAAGGAGGGAGCATTGTTTTTAAAACGAAGAAAATGGTTTATTTTTAAACAAAAAAGTGCGTAAGATTCTGTCTCCAACTTAGGCTGTCGCCAAAAAATAACGAATCAATCAATTTTGTAAAAACGCTATAAACAAATTCGTAATACATTAAAGAAAATGGAATAAAAAGATTGGTTGTAATTGATCAAATAGATTTTAAGAAAAACGTACCGGAAATTAGCAACTTTTTGACCCGTGTTTGAACAATTTTACAATTTTTAAAAAGTGCTGAAATTCGTTAGAATTTTAGAATTTGATGTTTAACCAGAAATAAATTTGATGCTTCTCTTGAAAAGTGAACACGTTCCTAAATTAAAATTAGCGTAGATGTGGTGTTTTAAAAAAATAAATCCGAAAAAAAAACAGTTAATCGGCTACCTTTAAATAAGCATATGTTCTTCTCTTTTCAAATTGAAGATTATTTTTACAGATTAAAAGCACATTTAAAATACGAAAATACGCAGGTGCAAAGATAGTAAATATTGTTATTTTTGTAGATTTCCCATGTATTGTGCATTTAAACACGCACAGCAATGTATTTGTAATTGGAAGTAAAACCTTTTTCCAGTGGTTTTCATTTTATTTTGGTATATCAAAATAATTCAATAGAACATGAAAAGCAATAAATAGCAATCGATATTGCTCACCAGAAGGCTGGAGCGAGTCTATTTTCAGATGGAGATATCGTTGTAAAGCGTTGACCCTTCCAAAGAAAAAGAAAATTGTTCTTTGTTCAATTAAGATCACAGTAAACAAAACATTTTTTAAATTAGATTCTCAATTTAATGAAGTAATATTTCAACATTTAAATGAGTAAGACTATATCGTTTTTAGGCCGAGAAATTACAGATTTTGAGGGAATTGTCTGCCCTGGAACAACAATCCATAAATTTCCCCTTCCGGCGAACAAACAAGTGTGAAATTGAATACCACCTTCCGAAAATAAAAACCGCCGGAAACTTTAATTTAATTAACGTTCGATAATTAAACGACCGTTGAACTGAGTTTGGACAATGTTCAATGTTTGGCTAATTTATTCAGAGGTGGACGACATTTCTCGAAAGGGAGTATTTTTCACGGGGCCCTCTTTCTTTTTCCGATTACCCGTTCTATTTGTAAATTATTAATGAGACAGCCTACCATCACTACGACTCTCAGACCAAAATGACACCTACGAAAGCCTATTTATGTAATTATTTATTAGTATATAGTCTATGCACTGACAAATTCTCTGTTAAAACTACATCACCTATTTTATATTTATTTTATTTTATTGTCACGACTATGAAGAATTTCTTCCACTCGATTATGCTGACTGATGAACATTTCTTTAAGTATACATAAGTGTATATACTGAGAGACAAAAAAAATCCACCCACTTGTAATATAACTTGATTTGTATATATTTTTATATATTAATTAAAGTTTCACATTTTTTAACGTTTAATAATTGAGCCTTTGTCTAAAAAAGTTAAAAAAAAAATGAAAATTCCTAAAGCCAGGAACACACTTACCCAATGCTACGCCATGCGACGCTACCCGATGCTACCCGACGCCTTGTCACGTTTTGGTGGGGTGTGCACATCTATCCGACGCAAGAACACGCCGCGTACAGTCCACAGCGTTTATCTCAATAATCACTATCACAATCACAACGCATCTTTTGTTCTTAATGCACTATTTTGAGCAAAACCTTGTAATAAATAGTTAGTTAAATTTTATGAGCACAACCATCTAATAAATTGTTTGTTAAACTTAATTGCTTTAAATAAAGTTACTCCTAATCATCTTGTTTATAAAAACTTATGCATTATTGATCTTATTTAATTTGGTTTACATTAAAATAACATGTAATTAATATAACGACAAAATTACATGTACTTAGTTTGAAATAAACTACAAAAAATATGAGTGTCCTGTTCTGATGATATCCGACCAAAATGGTGTAATTTTACGAGCAAAACTATGAAATAAATTGTTAGTTAAATTTAATTTTTTTAAATAAAGTTATTCCGGTGTTTTGATAAATTTTCTGCCTAACCATCTTAATTAAATAATTTTTATAAAAACTCATGAATTTTTGATCTCGTTTAATTTGGTTTATATTAAAATAAGTATGTTGTAATTAATATAACGACAATAATACATGTAGTTTGAATAAAATTATGAGTGTCCGGTTCTTTTGTCTTCGACTGTACTCGATGCGACCCGACGAAAATCTGGACAGTGGGGATCGCAGAGCGTCGGGTAGGTTAGCGTGGCATAGCATAGCGTAGATGTGCACGGGGGTAATGCAACCTTATGGAAAATCGGAGTTTGGATTTGCGTCGGGTAGCGTCGCATGGCGTAGCATCGGGTAAGTGTGTTTCTGGCTTAAGGAAAATGAGAAATGAAAAAAAGACGGTCAGAAAAAATTTGCTTTAATTTTGTTTTAGATTTTTAAATATCATTTCAACATCGCGTATTTCCTCCTCTTGCCTTTAATTACATCTCGAAGACGCCTCGGCATACTTTCTACGAGTCTGGAAATGTCTCTTTGCTGGAGGTTAGCCATCCTTCACGAAGAGTGTTTTCAAGATCGTGGAGCGTATCAGGAAGTGATGGAAGCCTTTTGAGGTTATCCCATAAATGTTCGATCGGGTTCAAGTCTGGAGAACGGACTGGCCAAGCTAAGAACTTGATGTTATGATGTTGAAGGTACGTTTGTACTATGTGGACGGGCATTATCGCGAATTAGAATAGTATTGTCGCTGATGTTATCGAGGATAGGCAACGCATAATGCCCCAAAATTTCATCCACATAGCGAGTGAATGCCCAAAACCGTCCACGAACAACAACCAACTCTGTTCGAGCCTCCATTGAAATTACTACCCACATCATCACTGAACTACTTTGGAAAGATTGACTCTGGGAAAAATTACAAGCTTCGTACCTTTCATTTCGCGTTCTGGAGAAGATTGACACTATTTCACTCCCATCTGGAGATCGTAGAGCAAATCTACACTCATCAGTAAAAAGTACAGCAGACCAATCGTCCAAAGACCAATGGCTATGTTCTCGAGCAAATGCTAGCCGTGTAACTCTGTTCACTTCTGGTCCTGTTACGAGTCGAAAAGACATCAGTCCATACTGATTTAATCTTCTTCCAGCAGTGCGTTCAGACATTTGGATACCTCGAACTTCTTGGAGCTGATGAATCGCTTGAACAACAGTAAGTTGCCGGTTTCCCAAAATTCTCCAAGTCAAAAAACGATCATTCTATGGGTCTGTTACCCAAGGGCGTCCAGAACCCGGCCTTCTATAGTAGGACCCAATTTCTCGAAAACGTCTAACGGCGTCTAGTTGTGTTTCGTAGGGAACTCCGATAGCAATAGCCGCATACCTAATGGAACGTTCTCATCAATAAGTGCCACACCACGCACAACATCCTCAGTACTAAGTGGCATTTTTAAGTTCATCGAAATTAAGAAAACAATGATGAAAACTAAATAGTTTATTGCTTCAGAATTCAAATGAGACTGAATATACATTTTAAATTGCGTAAAAGTAAACATTGAAAAATCCTTTATCCTTGTTTTGGATTAAGGATTAAGTGTGTTTACCTCTAATCGATATTTCCAATTTAAAACATAGCTATTTTGTTGGTAAAAACAATGAGACAAATTAAGGGCAGACTTTTCTTTTATCGAAAAAATGAAAAAAAAATAATTGGTCGAATTTTTTCCCTTTCGTGTACTATTGATAAATCCATCACTATTCCATTTAACTGAACACATTTTATGGCACAAATGGAATTTTTGCTTCCTTTTTGACCTTCATTTCATTTTAACCGAAATTTTATCTATTTATTATAACAGTAGTTGGTTTAAAAATGTTTCTTTGTTTTTAGGGTGTTATTGGAAGGCATAAAATATTACGCAAAACAGGAGCCAAAGGCGCTTGGAAGGACGTTTTTACGAATGGTAAGTTGAAAAGGGGTAACTTTCCGTTATTTCCCAGCGCAGATTTACATTGTATACTTATTCAACTATTGATTATTAATTGAGGATTATTTTAAAATTTGAACTGTTTCATTTTACAGGAGCGGGATTTTGACAAACACGCCGCCTATTGCCACGATGAGCCATTATTTCAAGATTTCCTCCAAGATAACGAAGACATCAGAACTTGGTTTGAGGTGAGCGAATTCTTTCTAAACTACTTAATCGAAATTATTCGTTTTACGAAATAATGGAATTCCGAAGATTTGTTATGTACGCTGATATCCAGAAAACTCTACGGCCTATGCTATTTGCCCAGGTCGATGGGGCAGATAAAGATAGATAAATAAGTAGATGAATGTATGTACTATGAATATAGATGTATAAAAAAATGTGTATATAGTTCGGTGGAAAGATGGATAGACAATGGACAGATAGAAATATAGATTAATGTATAGATATACTACATAAATGAATTAATAGATAGTTATATAGATGAATAGATAGATGGATGCATATAGAAGTAGGTATTTAGACATATATACAGGGTGTCCCAGTTCCTTCTGACGAAACTCAGGGAATCGATTCTACTCTTCGTTTGGAGCAAAAAATGCTCAGGAGAAAAGTTTCGGAAAGTTCTCTATTTTGAAGATATTCGTCCATTTAAGTTTTTTCAACTTTTCACTACCTTACCACATAAAAACGCTTAAAACTTCCAAAATGTTGAGTCTACAACAAATCCAATTACACCATTTGAAAGAACGCTAAATTTGCTGTAATATACTTCTATTTGCAAAAATCTGAATGACAAAATGTTAGCCAATATCAGTTGGAACATGTCAAAATTACAAAATTTAAAATTTTGGTTATGATTGCACGTTCTACTGAGGTTACAAAAAAAAAATACCTACAACTTGTCAAATTTCACAAAAACTTCTTCATCTAATATGCTTTACGTTGATATATCCAGGTTTTTCAATAACTTTCTATAACTTTCAATAACTTGAAAAATCAACGTAAAGCATATTAGATGAAGAAGTTTTTGTGAAATTTGACAAGTTGTAGGTATTTTTTTGTAACCTCAGTAGAACGTGCAATCATAACCAAAATTTTAAATTTTGTAATTTTGACATGTTCCAACTGATATTGGCTAACATTTTGTCATTCAGATTTTTGCAAATAGAAGTATATTACAGCAAATTTAGCGTTCTTTCAAATGGTGTAATTGGATTTGTTGTAGTCTCAACATTTTGGAAGTTGTAAGCGTTTTTATGTGGTAAGGTAGTGAAAATTTGAAAAAACCTAAATTGATGAATATCTTGAAAATAGAGAACTTTCCGAAAATTTTCTCCTGAGCATTTTTTGCTCCAAACGAAGAGTAGAATTGATACCCTGAGTTTCGTCAGAACGAACTGGGACACCCTGTATAGACAGATGAATGAATAGATATGAAGATTTATTCATAGTCAGATAGATAGTTAAATAGACAGGTAAATGTATATAGAGTTAGACATATAAATAGATGTAAATATAAATGTATTAATATATTAATGAATATGATTAAATATATAGTTCGACGACCTTTTAATTTATAACCCATATTATGTGAAATATATGAATTAAATAGAATGATAGATTGTTTAATAGATAGATAGATCGATTGATTGATAAATAGATAGAGAACGATAGATAGTTAGACAGAGAGAGANTCGACGACCTTTTAATTTATAACCCATATTATGTGAAATATATGAATTAAATAGAATGATAGATTGTTTAATAGATAGATAGATCGATTGATTGATAAATAGAGAGAGAGAGAGAGAGAGTGAGAGAGTGAGAGAGAGAGAGAGTGAGAGAGAGAGAGAGAGTGAGAATGGGAGAGAGAGAGAAAGAGAGAGAAGGAGAAAGAGTTAAAGAAAGAGAAATAAATAAAAGGATAGATAAATAGAAGATTAGATAGATAGATGGTTGAATGGATGGAAATATTAAAAGAATGATAGATTGTTAGATGGATAAATAGATGTATAAATGAATGGACAATATATACATGAATTTATTGATAGATAGATATATTAATAAATAGATATATAGAGAGATAGTAAACAGACTGGTACATAGAGACAGAAAGAGAGTGAGAGAGAGAATAAATAGATACATAAATGATCGGATAATATACAATTGAATTTATAGATAGATAGATAAATTTATAGATAAGTGATAGATAGATATTGGATGGAAATATCAATAGTATGATAGATAGATAGATAGATAGACAGACAGATAAATAAAGAGATAAATATTTAGTTGAATGTACAGATAACAGTTGTGTTTGGCAACTGACGAGGAAGGATCTCTACCATCATATCTCTCGGAAACGCAAACAATTCACCTTATTCGAAGTATTTTCCCTGCTTACCATTTGTCGACAATCTAGTCAATTATTTGTTATCGTATTGTTATTGTTGAGAGAGTATTTAATTAAAAGTCTGGTGATCTAATTCAATAATTTAAAATCACCAACCTCAATGGCATACGCAGGATCTTTGTTGTTTGGGGGGGGGGGTTGTCAGATAGGTATTTTATTAGAATTAGAAGTCATCATTGCTTAGGCTTGTTCATCATCTTGAATAATTTCTCTTTCCTAAACTTTTTAATATACAATAAAATATAATAAAAATATAGTGCTAGCCTCAAAATATAATTCTTTACAGACCAAACAGTTTTTTCTTTAAATATCACGATAACCATGTTTTAATGAAAATAAAACTATTATGTGTGTTTGTGGGAACTTTTATGTATTTTTCCATAAATGGGTACATATTTACAAAATCGTAAATATGTAACAAACTGAAATACAATCATAATCGGATTCATTTATTTGGAATAACTCCTAATATCTTACAATACCTACTATAAAATAAAATTAAAAATTTACATTAGGTGTACTACCTAATTGTGATTTGAAGTCGTTACATACCAAGAGAGGATTAGTCGACGTGGATTTTCTGAAAATTTCCTTTTTGAGTTCTACTCTAGGAGTCCTGTTCTGCTGCTCCGTCGTGCTAGTAGTTGTTGTAACCTAGTATTTGTTGGCCGAATATCTAAGATAATATTATTAAATATGATTATTTGGAGATCGTGAGATGTGGTCTGGTGTGTCGTAGGTTTTAGAAAAACATTTTCTTTATCGTGCCACGGCACACATTAATGACACATCTACACAGAAAACAAACACTTTGAGCCCTGAAGATGATCTCAATAAAGTTCGAAACGTGGTACGATAAAGAAAATGTTTTTCTAAAATGTACGTCACGATCTCCAAATAATCATTAACTAACGGTCACTAAACACCACACACACGTTATTAATTATTTAAAAAAATGTACCGATAAGATAGATAAACTGATGGAGAGGTAGATAGAAAGATGAATATATGAACAAATAGGACGAGAGAGAGAGAGAGAGAAAGAAAAATATTAGGAGAGGTTGAAGGAGGAATGAATGCTATCCTCCCTCCGCTATCCAGAAATTTAGGCACAGCAAATTTTTAGTATATATGTTGGATGGATAAAACGGGGAATTCTGTTTCCAATGATTACATATTCAAATCAATAAAATACCGAAGCGAACTAGACTAACCCTTAATCCAACTTAAGCCTTTCTTTTACGATGGTTCGCAACAGCAGAGGTTATATCAACCCTCGGGGTGCCGGTGTTTTTGAAAAAAAAAACCATTTGTAAGTATGTCGGGTTCGAATGCAGGGCCGCTGGATTCGAACCCGGGACCTTTACCTTACAGTGATGAGCGCCGTGTCAACGCCTAAGCCGTTGCGGCCACCGACGCCCCCTTATTAGTGACCTGTTGTTTCATAATTTGTTCAAGTCGTGACGAGCGGTCAAGAATGAGGTAGTTTANCGATGTTTTTGAAAAAAAAAACCATTTGTAAGTATGTCGGGTTCGAATGCAGGGCCGCTGGATTCGAACCCGGGACCTTTACCTTACAGTGATGAGCGCCGTGACAACGCCTAAACCGTTGCAGCCACCGACGCCCCTTTAATTCTAATTTAAATATAGTTTATTATAAGTAAGTCAATGATACCGAATATGCTGTCTTTTCGTTACCAGTTGAATGAATTAATTTCTACTATTTTATAAAATTAAAATAGTATATTTACTTGTCATTGATTGAGGCTTTATTGGTTCAAACGTTTTTTTTTTTTTGCAAAGTGTGATTCCTCAGCATTAAATATTTATAATCTTAGTGGGTCGTCGCCTATAGGCCAAAATGACCGGAAACTTCCAAATTACAAATTTTGTTTCGCCCAAGAATGAGCGGTAAGGGGCCAGTACGTAGGCAACACGCTTGGTCCCTGTGCGTGACTGGTTCACTTTTCAAGGCGCTGAACTTTTTATCGTTTCTTATTTTTTCTTCAATTTCATTGTTGATTTTATACAGAGTAAAAAATCATAACATGATATACATTTTAAATTTAGAAACAACGTTAGCAGTACTTAGCAAAGTAAAACATCCACAATGTCCTTCAGTCCAACGTTCTTCGCCAGCGTACAGTCGGACATTCTCCTCAAGAGGCAAAGGCCAAAGGATTTGTATCAATGAAGTGCATATGAGTGTAAGTGTTTCTTAGAGTGACACACAGTATAAATATGTAATGCATTCATTATTTGTCAAAATGCCAATTATAGTGGACAGTTTTAACGAAACTGCCAGGTCGCACTTTTTTCTCTGAGGTATATATTGGTCTTTACCCAGATTATTTTAAATCTAAAATCTATATGATTCTTTTTTTTATTTTGGTCTTGTCTTTCTGGAAATCCATTGAATAGTCATATGAAAATTTGCTTGACACCGACTGCCTTCGATTTTATATCCTAACGTGCTTCCACTTTGCAGTATAACCCAGATGGTCATTTAAATAAATATCATAATTAAAATAAATGCACGTAAGTCGGTTGATTGAATCAGGGTTATGTTAGGAGGTCACATGGTCATCTTACGCGGCGGGGAGAATTTTTAAGGTGGGGCGTTGAGGGTTTGTGCTAGCGTGTACTTTTAATTCAAAGGACCTTTGCACGTTGGAAGGTTTGCTTGAACTCCACGGGTCCTTAAGTCTAAATCGCTCTGATTAGTACATATTGTTAGTTTGTTACGTACACTTAAGGTAGGTACAAGTAGGCGTCTGAGTTGGCCATATCTTAGCTCGACTCCTTGTCTTGGCTCCGTGGTGTTCAAGTTGAAACCAATGTAGTGGCTTCGATTAAATCGTTACCCTATTGTTTATGCGCCCTAGTGAGCAGGTGACAGTCAGAGTGTAAGGTTAGGATGTGTCGGCCGCGGAGGTTGCGCTACAGAGGGTTTTCCTAGGATACATCCTTGCCGAACGCCGATGGTCCCTATGTAAGAAAATTCAGTGCCCATGTTCACATCAAACCAGCGATCCGTGGTAAGGGACTTCAGAACCAGGAAGTAGGAATGGGGAAAGATACTTTTTAATTTGAAAATGAGATCGGATGTCAGATTCTGTCAAGTGCCAGTGTGGCATCTAGCAATAACGTCAAGCAGTAAAGCCGGGAACTCACTTATCCGATGCAACACTATGTTACGCTAACCGATGCTTCCCGACGCCTTGCCACGGGTGGTAAGATGTGCACAACTATACGACGTCAAGCACACGCCACATACAGTCACACAGCGTGTATCACAATAATCGTTATCACAATCGCAATACCTCTTTTGTTCTTAATGAATTATTTTGAGCAAAACCATGTAATAAATTGTTAGTTAAATTTAATTTTTTTAAATGAAGTTATTCCGTTGTTTTGATAAATTTTATGCCTAACCATCATAATTAAATAATTTTTATAAAAACTAATGAATTTTTGATCTCGTTTATTGATATAAAAATAAGAATGTTGCAATTAATATAACGACAAAATTACGTATACACAGTTTGAAATAAACTACAAAAAATATGATTGTCCTGTTCTGATGCTACTCAACGAAAATGGTGTAATTTTATGAGCAAAATCATGAAATAAATTGATAGTTAAATTTTATGGGCAAAACCGTGTGATAAATTGTTAGTTAAATACATTATATCAAAAATTGGTATTCCGCTGTTTTGATCAATTTTCTACCGAACCATTTTTTTTTTTTAAATAAAAACTAATGAAATTTTGATCTTGGTTAATTTGGTTTCTATTAAAATAAGTTTGTTGAAATTTATATAACGACAATAATACATGTAGTTTGAATAAAAAAATGAGTGTCCGGTTCTTTTGTCTTCGACTGTACTCGATGCTACCCGACGAAAATCTGGACACTAGGGATCGCAGAGCCTAGAGTAGGGTAGAGTTGTATAACATCGGGTAGATGTACACGGGGGTAATGCAACCTTATGGAAAATTGGACTTTGGATTTGCGTCGGGTAGCATCGGGTGCGTCGCATAGCGTTGCATCGGGTGTGTTCCCGGCTTTAGGCTTGTTTTCTAAGGCAGAGGATATTGTGGTTTTGTAAATTAGACACAAACAAATATTTTAGAAAAAAAATCTGATTCTCTTATTGACTGGGTTCGCTTTGGTCTCCTTTTTCTATTCTTTTCCCGGTGTTCCACTTAAAATTTACAGCATTTCTTCCGCCTTTTATCCAAATTCATTGTTATTACAACTGTCAGCAAGCTGCATCTGTCTAGTTTTAGGCTATGTTAAAAAGGTTTAGACTTTTTTTGTCATTATACAACAAACACCCCTCAAAAGTGATTTTTATATCTGGTTCTCATCGAATCAAGGAGATAAAACTTGTACTTTACTTGTTTTAAAGCAGTAACAGGGGTTTTAAACGCCTGTTAAGTTTCCGTGGATCGGTGAATTCGTTTTGAAGTTAACAGCATTTTTGTGGTTTTGGCAAAAAATTTGAGGTAAAAATTATTTTTTGACTTTTTTAAAATTTGTATTCACAGGGTTTTTAGAGTATGAAAAACGAATAACAACACATTTTCTTATAAGTAAAATTTATTGACCTACTTTGCTTCGTCGCTTGGTCTCATATCGCGAATCAGCCGCTATTACATATATAAAAAATTAGAAAGCCTAAAGAAAATTACATCACTGTGAGCTATAAAAATATTTTTGTTCTAAAAGACTCGGATTAGTTTTTAAGAACCCTTTAATGCCTTTAAACACGAATTTTAGTATTAAAAAAAATACATTTTTGGCTGGATTCCACTGGGGCTTTTTTCCTATTCTTTTCCCGGAGTTCCATTTAAAAAATTCACAATACTTCTGGATTTTATCCAAATTCAATATTATTACAACCGTCGTAAAGTTGAATGTGTTTAGTTTTAGACTATGTTAAAAAGGTTTAGGATCACTATAAGTGGTAAAAATAAAGTTGAAGTGGACAAACGTTTTATTTTTATCTCCGGTTCTAATTGAAGCACGTAAATAAAATTTATGCTACTATTTGTATCTTAGAGTCTTGTAAGCGCCTGTGAAGTTTTCAATTGGATCGGTCGAATTGTTTCGATGTTATAACCATTTTTGATTTTTGAAAAAAAATCTGAGGCATATTATGGAAGGCAAAAAACCTGAGGTTAAAAATTAGTTTTTGATCTTTTTTGAAAAATTTGTATTATAGGGTTTTTAGAGGTGTGAAAAACGAATATCAACTTCATCACTTAGGAAAAGTTATAATGGGGGCGTCGGTGGCCGCAACGGTTTAGGCGTTGACACGGCGCTCATCACTGTAAGGTAAAGGTCCCGGGTTCGAATCCAGCGGCCCTGCATTCGAACCCGACATACTTACAAATGGTTTTTTTTTTCAAAAACATAATAATATATAGGATATTTGTGAACGATCGACGTAGCACGGTAGCAGTTTATTTAAACTAAGAAACAAAGATGATTTTCTTTTTTCTCATTTTAAATCAAATAGAATATAGATTTTTTTGGTAAAATAAAGAAAATCTCACCTCGTCTTTTACGGCTCGTAAAGATAACCAAAAACGATGCCATTTCGGAGGAATCAGGGACGAAAGACGAATTCAAACAGTCATTATTGACAAAACATTAACGAGAAAAAACAACGCTAATTTCATACTTAATGTGATACAATTAAAGGCGCCCGCCTTGTGGTAGGGGCAAACGTTGGCCGAAAATAAACTCCCGTGTTTTCTGTTCCCAGGACTTAGCCGCGAGACTTCACGATGACAAGAACCTCAGCGAACATCTAAAGCTTCCGATCCAGCGGATTAACGACTACCAGTTGCTCCTTAAGGTAAGCTCCTTGAAGTCTTTTATAAACTTAATTATGCTTAAATCGAGGTTTTGTTCGATTTGTTGGCCCACTTTCGGATCAATTTATTTTTTTTATTGAAAATTCCTTCGGTTTATTTTGACATTTTTCATGTTTTGCTCTGGGCTTTAAAATTTTATTGTTATAACTTGATCAAAGATTTAGTTATTTTCTAATTAAATAAAATCTCCAATGACCATAAATCATTGCCAATTAAAATTCCACACTTTATTTTTATTTATATTTCTTTATTTTTATTTATAAAACATATTCATTAAATAGAAAATTCTAATATAAATTTCGTTATAAGAAGGTAATCGATAATCGATATGGATTAATTTTGAGCTTATTTGACGTTATAAAGTATCCACTTACTTGGCTCATCGCCCATTAGGAGAGCCGGTCGTTTTTCAGGGATGTATGCAGAAGAGAGTAGGTGGTTTCAGAAATAGCAATCTCCTACTGTCTACTATTCATTTAACAAACATAACTATTCATAAAAACTCAATTAAATAGGTTTAATATAGAACTTAATAATCGGAGACGTCATAGGGAAGTCATGGGACTTGTAATAGCAGCCGCCGTTTTCCGCCCAAACCACCGAATAATTGGCAGGATTGTAAAAAAAATTACAATCTCTCTTCACATTTTTCTTATATATGCTGATATGTAAAAAGGAAATTGTGATAATACATATAGCCACATATCCTAAGTTCAATTTTAACTTCAAGCCCGCATTTCATTACTTCACTATTTTGATATTTTCTTTTGGCAATTGAAATAAGGGCTGAGAATTGAAATTTTGTTCAACATGGAATTTAACCGACTGGAAATATCAGGCGTTTGGTTTGTCTTTTCATATATTTTTTAAATTACATTCTTCATTTGTACAATACTGGAGAAGGGGCAAAATAAAATTTTTATTGTCCAACTTTAATATTATTCACATTCAATATTATAACTACCTATTAAAAAAACGATCAGGGATGATACTAATAATTTAACGATAATTAATCAAATCCACTGGTCAGGATTGATCTGATCATATTTTAAAGGGGATAGCACAGTTTTTCACCATTAAACATTACAATTTTACTATACTTCAATAATTATACAAGCTCATCATCAAGACAGGTCGTAAAAGATTGCTATTTTTCTGTACGATGTTCTCAATATCGTTTCGCTCTATTATAATCAATCTTTTTTTTTTCCATGTTCGTTGATATAATACTAATTCTTACGTAGGGGGCTTATAAAAATTATCATTAATTTTTGGCAACAGCCTAAAATTGTATCAACATTTTTCACGTTTTTCTTTATAAGAAATTATTTATTTTTCATCCCTCTGCTACTGGCTACGATTGTCACCCTTAAAATTAATATGATGAAAAGTTTTGGAGAAAAATTTGAGGAAAAAAAGTTATTTTCTGATCGAGTCAAAATATGTATATCCAGGAACCTTTAAACTTATAGATTATTGTTCAGATAAGTCGGACCTTATATCAATTAATCGGACTTTAATTAGATTCAAATAAAGGTTCTGGACATTTAAGCTTGTGGATTACTGAAGTGCTTAACGGGGATGTTTAACTGTTTTTTTCGGAAGAACAGCTGGTTTTGTTTCCTATTTATTTTTTTAACCCCATTTCTCCCCTATTGATTTTAATTTTGATAACCAATTATTTTTCAGGAGAGTCTGTATTTTCTGGTTAAGCACGAAAATTTAAAATTTTAATCCATTTCAGCAATTATTCTAGGTCTTTTTTTTTGTTCAAACAGAGGGGAAAATTGCCACATTTCGGTACCGTTTTCTCAAAATCGATTTGGCCTATTATAACCAAACTTTTTGCTTATATTCTACGATGTCTTGGTTCTGGATTATTAAAAATAGTGAATCGTTAAATCTTGGCAACAACCTAAAGGTTTGATACAATTTTACACCTTTTTTGTAATAGCAAATAATTTATTTCTCCACTTTTTTGTATTTGTTATTATATTTTCTAGTTACGGTTGCTTGTCTATTATTGATGTACAGTTTGAATGTATAATATTGTTTGAATATGATAAAGAACTTTGAAAAGAAAAGTGCTGAAAATAGAAAAAATGCAACTGTTATTGAGAAGGGATTCTCTGATCGAGCTCGAATTTGCTAACAAGCTTTATTTTTAATCCTTATGCAAGGTCTTGGTTGAGATAAAAAAGTCAGTGTCACGAGCGGGATTTGAACCCACGATCTTCGGCTAAATACGCCGCTGCTCTACCACTTGAGCTATCGTGTCTTCGATCCACTCGGACAACAACTTCCCATCTCAACCCCACCTTTCGAATTTTTCCTCCTTTTTAACAAGCCGAAGGTCGTGGGTTCGAATCCCGTTCGTGACACTGACTTTTTTATCTCAACCAATACCTTACATAAGGATTAATTAATTGAAAAACGTTATTCGGTCAATCGGACAACGAACTCTAATGAATGTATTTTTAATCTATTCACATACAGACGTGTTAGAGGATATATCTTTATACAGACGTTCTATTATTTACCTGACATTAATTAGATCCATTAAATGTTCTAGGAATTTAAGTTAATCTATTTTTGAACTAATTACCTGCTTAGGTACAAATGTTGGGCCAATTTTCGGTACCATTTCTTCAATATTTATTTGTTCAATTGGAACCGATCTGTTTTTGTTTTATTTTCCTTAAGATACTAGGATTTCGTGGCTAGGGTTTTTTTTTAAATAGCGAATCGTTAAATATTTCTCCGTTCCTGACTGTGTTTATAATAATTTCTGGTTTTGTTGGCATGCCTATTATTGCTTTAAAATTGAAAGAAAAATCGTTTCAATTTAATGAAGGGTTTGGGAGAAAAGTGTACCAATCGGAAAAAAATGCAATGTTTCTTAATGAGGGATGATCGAGCACGAATTTCCATATCCAGCTTTATTTCGAAAATTGTTGTCCACAAAATGTATGTCTTTAATCTGATCTTCTATCAGTTAATGTGACGTTAATTTAGCATATGAATGTATAATTAACGATTTAGATGGAGGAGGACAATTTAATGGATAATTTAACTGACGCAGTGTAATATATCGTCTAGCCACCAACCTCATCCCTGTAAGGTAAAGGTCCCAGGTTCGAATCCAGCAATGGGCAGCAACAAATGGGCTTTTTATCAATAACACCGGCACCCTGAGTGTTTATATGACCTCTGCTGTTGCAAACTCTCGTAAAAAAAAAAATCAACTTACTAATATTTTTTTATTAGCTGAATCTTAAGTGGGACCAGGAGATTTTTCCAAACCGACTCAACCTAGATGAAATTTTAAATTGTAGCACCACCCAGCTGTTCATTTAAATACTATCAAAATTATGTTGAATTATAACATAGAACATACAGGAAAAAATGTCAAAAATTATCCAACAATCATTAAAAATATTCAATATTTACAAGCATGTGTATTATAAAAATTCAATGACAACGTAAAAAAAAGAATTAATTAATTGGAATAAAATTTTGGAGGAGTGTACCGGACCCACCTTCGCCTGTACCACCCGGCAATTTGCGAGATTACGAGGCTTAGGTCCCAATCGTTCAGCCAGATTTTTAATTGTAAAACCAAAACATGACTTCGTCGACTTTAAAGTAACCATTTTCGTCTTTATACAAATTTTGAGTCAAAAACAATCATGCTCAAGTTTAAAAAAAATGCCTGTCCACTTACTACTACAATACAAGTTAATAAAAGTTTTTAGGTCGTAAATTGGCCGAAATTGGTTCAGGTCGGATGGGAAAATCGCTTTTCATCAAATTAAACTCAATTGAGTTTAAAAAAAAGTGAATAGGAAACAAAACCTGTTTATTGTTCGAAAAACTGTCGCCCCCCCTCGTCAAGTACTTAAACTTTTTTTTTGACTTTGTGAACTTAAGAAATCAACCGGCTTAAATATCCAGAAAGTTTATTTGAATTTTCCCGTCCGTTTAACCGATAGAAAATCGTGTCCCCTGAAAAGTTGTATTCTTTCACATTTCGGTTCACGTTTCTCCAGAACCTTTCTTTAAATTGAAATCATTTTTTTTTCATTCTGTACAGCAATAACAGCCACACAACCTTAACTAGAAATTAGTATAAAAAAATCAGCCAGGAGTGTAGAAATAAATTCTTTGGTATTAAAAAAAAGATTTAAAAGGTTGTCACAATTTTAGGTTGTTGCCAAAATTTAACGATTCGCTATTTTTAAAAACCCAAAGCCACGACATCGAAGTATCCTAAAGAAAATAAAACAAAAAAAGATCTGTTGCAATGGGACGAATAAATCTTGAGGTAATGGTAGCAAAAATTGGTAAACATTTGTTGGCTACCGCGTTAAGTACTTCAGAAATCAACTAGCTTAAATATCTAGAGCATTTAATTTGATTAATTAAAGTCAGATTAACCAATAGAATATCAGACTAAAGTCATGCATTTTTTGAACAAAAATTTTTGAAGTAAAGTTGGAAATGCAAATTCGAGCTCGATCATCCCTTCTTAAGAAAAATTGTATTATTTCACCTTTGGGTGCGCTTTTCTCCAAATCCCTTCATTAAAATGAAACGATTTTTCTTTCTCTGCAGAGCGATGATAGGCACGCACTGTTAACGAGAAATTATTGAAAAACAATCAGACAGGAGCGTAGAAATAAATTATTTGGAATTTAAACAAAAATATAAAAGTTTGTATAATTTTAGGCTGTTGTCAAAATTTAACGATTCGCGATTTTTAAAAACCCTTGGGCACAAAATCCTAGTAGTGTAAGGAAAATAAATCAAAAAAAGATCGGTTTCAATATGACAAACAGATTGTGAGGCAATGTACCGAAAATTGGCCCAGCATTTGTGCCTAATGCTTAATAAATACAGAAATCAGCTAACATAAATAATCGAGAATGTTTAATTGATTTAATAAACGTCAGCTAAATAATAGAAAGTTTGCATAAAGATA